GCCCACACACAGCACCTCCTGTTTGGGAGCCGTGTACCACCATCAGCATACCACCATGCTCAACCCAATATAACCTGCTCTTCTGTGCACACAGATGCACAAACACAACCTGGGTTCTTCCCCCAGTGCTTCACTAAAGAGCATCTGCTCTCAGGACCCGCCCAAGGAAACAGCCTCTGTGATCCTGTCAGATGGCACCTCCATCTGTTTTGCACATTCTATTTTCATGCAAAGAAGCCACAGGACCCCTTTATTCGTTGCCATGTAATTAGACTAATACTTGACAATATCACACAGAAACAATACTTCCCTATCAATAAAACCTCAAACTGACAGCGATCTTCAGACAGCAGAATTAAGCACACAGAAGGATATGGTCTAAGTAAGACTGCATTAAATACACTCATCCAAGACATGATCCACTTAGCAATCTGTCCTGGGATCTTTGATGTTACTTTCAAGACTTACAGTCACTGCAGATCAAATGAAATACATTTATTCATCTCAAAGCCTCACTCATTTCAGCACGCTGCAGAACTGGGCATCAAGGAGAAGGTCTTCATTCTATTTAAACTTAAATATCTATCCTTAAAGGAAGTGCCTGAAATCACACACAGATTTAATCCCACAGAACGGCCCAGGTTGGAAGGGACCTCAAGGATCATGAATCTCCAACCCCCTGCCACATGCAGGGCCACCAACCTCCCCATTTAACACTAGACCAGGCTGCCCAGGGCCCCATCCAATCTGGCCTTGAATAATCAAATCAAACGAAAGGAATTGGAGCAGCCCACTTTGCTAAACACTTCAAAATATGCATATGCTGTCTAAAGGAGCTCAAGAGGTGCATAAGCAGCTCTGTCACTTCAGGATTCTTACAGTTTTTTTCTTTTTTTTTTTTGGCCCTGTCCTTCGGACTTGCAAACTACATTTGTCTCTCTCATGAAATGTTGACTGGATCAGCCAGTGACAGGTAGAGACTTCCAGTATTTCCACTTTCCAAAAGGTACTTTTTCTTCCCAAACAGGGCCTATGATCAGTAAAGCACTTCCAGATCAACAGCATTAAGATAATCACGATGCCAATATCAAAGAACCAATTTTAAGAAGACCTTAAAGTCCCCATTACTATTGGAGTCTATTGGAGGCAGCACACAGAACAGCCACCTCTCACAAGACCAGACTACAGATGTCCCACAGCTTGCTTGCTTCCTTATTCTGAAGTACCAGGACAGCTATGATGTTTGTCATCAGGTATCACTACGCTGCAGCACTGTTTATTATACACCACAGCTTCCCTGAAGTTTGGCATTGATTTGCATGTAACTCAGCACAACTGCTGCTTCCCAGCTGTAAGATAAAGTGCACGCAAAAAATGACAAATCAGAACAGCTGTTCTATATAAAATATAAACTAGAAACTAAATTGTGCAGGGTGGGTCCAGCTGTACGTGGTAATTGCTGAGGAATACATACAGCACCTCAATATCTTCTTACTCTTACCTGCTTATCAACACTGACTTTTTTTTTCTGTCAAGTCGATTTCAGTTTTTAACCTATTTATTTTTTTTCTCCCCACAAGAGAACAGCAAAACCACAAACAGTGACATTTCGGCAGCAGAACTTCAAACGGGGCTCGTTAACAAACGCCCAGCCGTTCAACAGGAACGTAACCATCCACTGCTTTCTGTCACAGCCATTAGGCAGATTTCAGAAGACACTAAAAAAAAAATCACAACGAGGATTTTAAAACTTATACTTACAGAATTAAGTGGCTCTGAAAGGGCATTAAGTGGCTCAGAAAGACAACGTCGGGAAGCGACAAGGTGCAGTCGAACCACATAGGCGCCGCACTCCGGCGATCCTTCATCCCGCCCGACGCGACCGCCCCGCACAGCGCGGCCACGGAACGCTGAGCGCGGCCCCGCTCCCGGTTCCTCCCCCCCGCTGCCTGCAGTTCCTCTGAGGCTCCGGCGCCTCCCGGAACCCCTGAACCCCTAGCAGGTTTCAATAAAAAAAAAAAAAACAACAAAAAAACACCTTTTTTTCCTTAACAGAAACACACCGGAAACGCTGGAGAACACAGCGCGGTGAGACGGCCGTGGATCCAGGACCCTGCAGGGAGGGGGAGGCACGGCTTGGGCAGCCGGGAGGTGGCGGGGGCACAGCACGGCACGGCTCGACTCGGCGGCGCTCCCTCCAGGCCCAGCAGCGCGCACTCACCCAGACGCAGCGTAACGCGCTCGGCCCTGCCCGGCCCGCCTGTTGCCCCGGCCGGGCCGCTGCTGCCGTACTCCTGCGCTGCCTCCGGCGGACGGGGGAGCGTTCAGCGGCTTAACGCGCCCTCAAGCACCCTTCAGGTGAGGCGCCGCCACCGGGCGGGCTGACCCCATCGGGCTGCCGTAAGGACTGCCGGCCGCGGATCGCGCGTCACGTGATGGAAAGCGGGCGGAAGCAGCTCCCCCTGGCGCCTCACGTGCGGCCCCGCCGCAGGGCGCCCATTTTTAGTGAGGGAAGGCGGGCGGTGCGCATGAGCGCTGGTGGCGCCCGGCTGGTATTGGCAAGGAACCGCGTAGTTCAGAACTTCCAGCCCTTGTTTAAGCTTCGCAAAGGCCATTTTGCGACCTTACGTAATTAGCACCGTGTAAAACTCGTCAGCGATGTAAAATACATCCGAACCACAACGCTCGTTTCCCAACTCGCTCCCAAGCAGCGCCGTGACCGCCCGCCCCGCCCCTGCTGTCCTTCGGCATCCCGAGGGCAGCGAAATGAGAGATGCTGTTATGTAGCGCAAATAATTTTTTTTTTTTTTTGAACAGGATAAAAAAGCTTCCTCTTTTCACTATTTTTTTTCAGTGCCCACGGTTATGTTTTAGAGGTCAAAATGAGCAGCAGAGGCAGAAGTACTGAAGTGTATATTGATCCAAGGTCAATGCAGCTTGCTAATTCCGTCCTTAGAAATGCCAAAAGCACCATTTCACAGAGGCAAACGATCTGAAATATGATCTATTAGAAGGTAAAAATAAAAACTACACAGCACAGAAAATTATACATTGTTTCTCTGCAGATACAGGATGTTTCACTTGGCCTCCTTGAAACAAGCTGTTTTCCTGAGTACCCCTCAGCAATCCCCTTTCCTCTACCACTATCAAGATGAATTTTGCCTTTAAAATAATGAAAATCTAAGCCTTGAACCACGCTAGAAGTTTCTTCACCAGTGATTCCATGCGTACAGCAGGGCTCAGGTCCCGGGGTGTGGGCTGGAGCCTGGACACAGGCCTGCATTCCAGGGCAGGGCCGGAGCAAGCAGGGCCTCCTCAGCTTCCTCACCCCACTTTCAGCTGACCTATCACTATATAAACACTTAATGTTTTATATAGGTAAAGATCAGTAGTAGTGAGAGGAAACGAACAACAAATAACGTCACAAGTGAAATAGGTCTTTCGTTTAGTCAAAATATTTTATTTGGTTGTATTTAGTAGAAGGCTTCTTTGCTTTGTTTTTTTCCTTTTTTTTCCTCCTATTGTTTTCTCATTATTTCTGATTTTTCATTCTTTCAGTACAATATATTAACACTTTGCACCTCTTCAGCGCTTTCCTGTTAAGACTCTAAAATTATCTGCAGACAAGTTAACTAATTCTCACAACAACCAGAGAGAGATTAAGATCAACTTTCTTCAAGTTTTTCTTTGGATTTCAGTGTCCAGCTCCAGTGTATCAGCTGGGCTGGATATGTGTCCCTGCAGCTGTGAGTGATGCATGCTTTTGAAAGAAAGCCCAAGTTGGAGCACTCAAAATCTAAAGCTATTTATGAAAATCTGTACTTTTAGTAACTTGTTGAAGGTCACACGATAAGGGTGCAGCAGAATCCAAAACTCAGAACAAAGCATAAATTCCCCGGAGCACTGCATTGGGCTCCGGGGCCTCCAGCATAAGAAAGACATGGACCTGTTTGAGTGGGTTCAGAGGAGGGCCACAATAACCATCAGAGGGCTGGAGCACACCTGCTATAAAGTCAGGCTGGGAAAGCTGGAGTTGTTTGGCCCAAATAAAAAGAGAAGACTCTGAGGAGACCTTATAGCTACTCTTCTAGTACTTAAAGGGGGCCTACAAGAAAGAGGGGAATAGACTCTTCCTTAGGGAGCGTAGCAAAAGGACAGGAGGTAGTGGTTTTAAACTAAAAGAAGGCAGATTTAGATTAGGGATTAGGAAAAAATTCTTCACTGTGAGGGTGGTGAGGCACCAGAACAGGTTGCCCAGAGAAGCTGTGGATGCTCCGTAGCTTTGGGCAACATGATCTGATGGAAGGTGTCCCTGCCCATGGCAGGAGAGGTGGAACTAAATGATCTTTAAGGTCCCTTTCATTTTGTGATTCTATGAGACATAACACATTGTAACATACTTCCGACTTTATAACCACAATCCCTTCTCTTTATACTTTACCCTCTACTGAACATTTCCAGCAGTCTGTAATGTTACACATCTACTTATATCCTGTATTTTGCTAGTAAGCTCTACAATTGAGTCATCAGTTATACACAGTATACAGTGGCTGTGTGTGACTACACTGAGCCTTAATTAAAAACATCTTAACAAGCAATGGGCATAAATTTTGAGTATTTAAAGAAATTTCAGAGCTTATAGTAAAAAAATCTAACAAGGGACTGTCTTAAAACACCTCCATCACCAAACCTGATTTAAATGAAAGACTAAATATTAACTTGACATTGATACCTTCTTATCAGTAGTGCATTTGCATAGAGATTCTTCATAAAAACCTGCAAATTCACAATTATACCTTGCAAACATACAACTGTTCAAGCTAACAGTACTTTTAAAATATTCATTTAGTTCATGGAAATGGTATCTTCAAGTCACCTCCATCAGAAGATAATGACATGAAACACAGATGAAACGTTCATAGTTAGATTAACACTGAAAATTCAAACAGACAAACATAATGCAAGTATTTTAACAGAAACAATACAAACTTTCACTGGCTTAAAAAAAGATCTGAAGGAGAAATCTTGGCTATTTCAGTGTATTGCTCTACCTTACATTTAAAATGGTATATTTACAGAACTCTTCAGATGAATTAGGCTTCTACTATAAAACTAAATACTGGAATTCTGATAATTTGTGCAAGTATTAAAATATTAACATTTTAAATGTTAACATTACAATTTTAAATAGCCTTGCAAGTGCAATGTTACAAATATTTTTTAAAAATCGGAGCTACAATTTTATATAAGTTATATGAGTAAATGAAAGTGCTTTTCAAGTATTCATGTTCATTTGCAGTTGGGTTCTCTTGTTAAGTCAGTGCTCAGTGGTACAATTTAAGTATCAATCTTGTTTCAGTTTTGGATGCATGAATTTAACTGGATGGAATAAATGAAATCTGAAGGAGTTTGTGCTCAATATTTCAAAATAGTATATAATTCATGATAAATATTTCAGATTGAATATTAAGAAAATAAAATACAGATTACTTCCTGGAGGCTCTGTAATAACCCAGTAATGCTGTGGGAGCTTCTTAACCACAGAGTCATTGTAAATTCTGCTGATTTCTTAAATTATGATATGCTAAATGTTTGTTCTTTAGTAGAGACAAAACCATGGGAACAAAATAAAGCTCAATACCATCAAGTTCTGAAGAATTTTTAAGATCCCATAATCTATGTCAAAAGCATGGTGTCTAAAGAAGGTTTTCTTACATTTTCAATTAGGCAGCACTTAGCTGAAGTCACTCGAGAGCACAGCCAGTGCACATCAGCACTGTAGTGTCTACCCAGTGCACAGTGTAGCTTCCTTCCTGGCTAGCTGGAAGTCATTCTTATTGCAGTGACACAAATAATACCGTATGCCTGTTTCCCAGCCAAGGAAAGGTGAGCTAAGTGGGGAAATGCTTGTTTATTAGACAAGAAAACCAAGCCAAACCAACCCTAAATTAATCAATATGTATTTAAAAGTGCACTGAAAATATTTCATATCGAACCTGTCTCTCATAAGTGCTGGATTTTCATCTTAAATTATACCTGCTTTGAACACTGATCATCTGTAAGCTGATATTAGAGCATTTTGTTTGTCTTTGCCATTTGAAAAGCACACGACGAGGCAGCATTAATGTCCTTCATTAAAGACTGGCAATACCACAGATTTTATCATGAAGATGCAGCTTAGAGATGACAGTCTGCAGGGTCTTCTCCAAAACTGTGTCATTACAAGCTTAATCCAACAAAGTGCTTTGTAATTTGCCAAAGACAAAAGTCAAACTGTTGCCCTACCTCACCACAGTGCTGCACTGGCAAGCATAGTTTTCTTTCCAGGTGCATTTCCATTCGACTTTAATAAATTATAGCTCTCCAAATTTAAGCAATTCTTTGCAATAAAAGCAGGGTTTCATGCTCTGTCAAGACTGGCCATTGTTTAGACTGGTCTCTTCATGCAGACCTGACAACGGCTGATGACGTTTTCTAGTTCTCCTGCTTTCAATGTCTGTGGCATAGGTTTCCTAAAAGAAAGAAAACATTTACTTTTTGTTATTGCTGTTAAAAACTAGGGAGAGGTGATGAAACTCTGTATACGGAATGAAGTTCAAAAAGGCTAACTTCAAGATCCGGCAGATGGGTTGGGGCAATCCTGAGCAAAAATCCAAGCTGGGTAGAAAATAGATTGAGAGGAACCCTGAGGAGGAGGACTTGAAGTTGTTGGTTGAGGAAAACCTCAAGGTCACCTGGCGTCATGTGCTTGCAGCCCAGAAAGCCAACTGTAACCATGGCTACATCAAAGCAAGTGTGAACAGCAGGGTGAGGGAGGTGCTCCTCTCTTTCTGCTCTGCTCTCTACAGACTCCACCTCAAGTTTTGGGTTCACCCCTGGGGATCCCAACAACATAAGAACAAGGGTAAGGGCTTTAAACTGAGAAAGGGTAGATTTAGGTTAGATATAAGGAAGAAATTCTGCACTATGAGGGTAGTGAGGCATCAGAACAGGTTGCTTAGAGAAGACATGGATGCCCCATTTGTAGAAATGTTCAAGGCCGGGCTGGATAGGGCTTTGAGCAATCTGATGTAGTGGGAAGTGTCATTACCCATGACTGGAGAGCTGGAACAAGATGGTCTTTATGGTCCCTTCCATGCCAAGCCATTCTATGACTATGAATCAGATGTTTGTCTCACTTTAGGTCTCTTTGTGCTATGGAATGACCATAAACCTGATAAATGGGGATGTCTAATTTGATGGGAATTACTAGGGGAGACTTTGCTTGTTATGTAGGCAGTTACTGGCTTCTAAGCCATCTGCAGCATGGATGCAATGTGCATAGGTGAAGGAAGTAGGGCTGAGGCTGCTGAGAAAGCACAGTTTACCTGAACATTCTTCTTGGATTTAGTGATGCCAACCAGAAGCTGTAGGAGTTTGTGTAGTAGTTGCACGTCCCCCTGCCATGGCACTCTATGAATGGGATGGCTCGAAATTCTTCCAGACAAGATCCAGGAGACGCCAGTGCTTGGCCAGAAGCTTCTGAGCCAGCACTTGTATACTGTAACAACCAATCAATGCTTTTAGAGGAGAACTTTTGCATCAGCTTTTAGTAAACAGCAGGCAAAAAAAAATCTCTGAAGTTTATCATATGTTCTGTGCCATATCTTGGACAAGACAAAAATTAGCATAGATTAGTTTTATCAGACTCGCAATGAAGTACAGAAACTTTATGAAAATTCAAGCATAGTTATGCTATTTCTTAGTTCTTGCAAAGGCCTTTTTCTTCTCTAAGAAAAGCCTTAAAATGTAACAAGCAAAATGTCTATAAAATAGCTGGCTTCCATCCATTTGAGGGCTACAGTAACTGAATTACAAATAAGCTAAATTTCATCTTCTGTGTGTTGCTCCCATTCATATTTTTTGTTAAATTGATTCCTTCTCCAAACACAAAAAACAAACAAAGAATGCATTTTCATTCTCTGATTCTCTGACAATGCTTGTAGAAAGAGCTCTACAACAATTTATGACAGCAGAATATTTGCTGGAAAAATACATTTCAATTTGATGATGTTTGAAAAGACTGTAATTTAGCCAGAAGCTGAGAAAATTTTTTTCCCCAAAGATGTTTATTATAACTTAGGGCCAAATGACAGGAGTGACAACAAATTCCACACTAACAGGACTTTCCATCATGCAACAAACAAACAAAAACAAACCAAGCCAATCAGACCTTTGAAGAGGGATTTTTATTTCTGTCTCTTACCCTCATTTGCTGGCATCCCTATGGTATGCCTCAGTCATGGATAACAAAGATGAAGTGCCACTCCCCTGGTATAGATACACCCCTTATTCCCATTTTCAGATCTCACCTTGCAAGTACATTATTTACTTTCTTCACTAATATCTCATTATGGCACCAAAATTGCTGAAGCAGTCCTCTGCATTTGAAGAGTGTACTGCATTTGTTTTGATTTTAGCTTTCTATGAAGATTGGCCCAAAGACCTGAATTACAAAAAGAACTGCCAGGCATAGTAGCAGGTAGCTTATTTCTGTGCATCTGTGGTCAGGACTGCTTTAACCACCCCAGGCCCCAAACCTGTCCTCCCAAGAGCTCAGCAGAACACATGAGTGTGCAGTTATTTTTGTGAGACTAAAATCCAGTTGTTTTCCTTTCATTACGCCCCCTTTTCCTTCTGCCACTTATTTCCTGACAGATCGGAATAGTTGTTTCTATGCTTTTATCATTAAATAAGAGTTAATAGAATTATTGTCTCATTCCAGGCAAAGAAAAAAAATTAGCCATTATTAAGACACAAACAGATGAAAATGCCACTGAAAGTGAGACGAAGGAAAATGAGTATTTCCAGTGTTTTTATCTTTACCATAACAAAAGAAAATCCCTTCCAGAGAGATATCCAGCCTCCTGGACATGCAGGAACTGCAGTTGTTTGGCTGTGAACTGCTATTACCATTGCAGGTCCTTCACAGACAATGCATCTGTAAGAAGAAGCACACATGCATTCAGTGCAGAGTGAGGGAAAATATGTAAGCAGACCAAAAACTGCATCTGCTATGATACTAGCTACCCAAACGTAGGGCTCACTAGAAATACTGTACCTCTCATACATTTCTGCTGTTGAATGAGGAGACCAGTAAATTGAAGGTAATCCAAATACCCTTTTTTGCAATATCTATTAGACAGAAGTTGGTGAAAGATAAGAACTAATTCCAGAGCATTTGACTTTCCTAATACTGCCTTTACCAAAGTAACACTCTAAATTTTACTTTCATCATGTGCTCATTATTTTATGTTGCTATGGTTTAGATCAAAGTTCAGTACCTTTATTCACTAGTATTAAATTAAAAAAATACTTTATTTCCTCAATGCAAAAAGTCTGAAGCTGAGATACTAGATTGCAACAACTGTGTAGAGCAGACTAGAAGGAAGAATTGAAAGCTTGCCTTCCTATTTTTTTTTTTTTCTAATCCTGATCATTTAAAGCTTTCCCCCTTTAGAGGCTCTTATCTTTTTCAGGCATCCTAAAGCAAATGAAAAGGTTTGCATTTATAGAGGGCATTTTATAGCAGAGAACCTTCAGCTCCAGTTTATAATGTTCTTCAACAACTACAGTAAATTTATTAGATGTAATTGGAAACAGAAATTGACTTGTACTGTATTACAAACATTGAAACTGTCATTATGCCACTTTAGCCTGCTTCTAATATATATGACATGAGTATTAAAAATATGTATGTATGTGCATGTGTGCATATATACCTCTATGTCATTACGAGCAGTAGAACTGTTTTCCCTTTTCTCATGTCAGCTACACTAATTAAGCCTGTGGCAGTACCTTACCTATAGTCTAACTTTTCTCAGAGAATATTGAATATCTGAATATATCAGATGAGTAATTAAAAAAATTAATTAATTAATTAAAAAAAAATCAAGCAATTATAAAAAATGCTTCTATTTACTGAGGTAAAGGTCCTTCTCTAAGATTTATTGTTCAAAATAACTTGCACTCTGTGGGCTGCTGGCCAGAAAAACTAAAATTCTTATACTCTTACCTGCTTATATGGGGCTCCAGTGCTTTACCAGAAATTGGTGCCATGTCTACTGGCATTGCTGTTGCAGTTGACAGCCAGTATGAATAGTCATTGCGAGAAGCAAAACTGCACACATCATTGGTATTGCAGAATAAGAACGGCATGGTGGTAAATCTCTGCAAGCAGCTACCAGCTGTTCCTAAAGTACAGGAGAGAAATTTGTGACAAATAGGAGACTATATTCAGCATGACAAAGGAGACCAGGGAAAAATTTAAAAAATTGATGACTATAAAGAGTTAAGGTCTATACAGTGAAATTGCATGAAATCAAAATACTTATCGCATAGATAAAAGTAAGTATTTAAAAATCAAGGGCCAAGAACAAAATCTGTTAAAAATACTGTCTTACTGAATGATATCAGTCCTTGACACAATGGCAGGGATTAAACACAAGGTTATGAGGCCATTTCTGACACTATAGCACTCAATCTGTCATCCACAAAGCACTGTGCTCTCCTACACCTCATAATATTACTGTCAGCCCTACACAGATGCTACTGACATTTACACTAGGCATCTATTCAGAAGTAACCAAATTGCTCCTGAAAACACGTATGGAGAGCAAAACAAAGTATAGGAGAAGGAAAGTTGTCTTTTGAATTGCGATTACTGAAATTGACTCAGAGCAGCAGACCACTGATAGCTGAAGCCAGTGTTCATCTCAGACACAACGAGTTTGGTTTCATGAAGACAGCTTAGCATTACTGTACCCTACAGAAGGTGATATGAACATTTTACTAGTATAGTACCAAGGTCTTGTCCATGCGCTCGTTCATTTCCTTGTACAAAAAGCAGTGAATAGCCAATGTAGATTTGTGATGTCCCAGGTGGGCATGAAGGAATCTTTGTTGATTGACTATGTCGAGTGAAGATAAAACCTCTTCTTGTTGGACCAGTGGTGGTAGTACCTGGTGATCCAGGCAATCCCTGTAGGCCAGGGAAGCCAATCAATCCAGGTTGTCCTGTGAAGGTGAAGCAAATATTATCATGTTCTTTGAATTCCTGCTTTACTTGAATTACTGAAACCACTTGAAAGTAAGCAAAAGAAATTTAAATTAAAAATGAATAACAGTTTTTACTAGATACATTAATTCCTTTGAATCTAGCTCACGTGGCTTTCCTTTTTGGACCTAGCTTTACTTTGCATCAGTTTGCGGCATTGTGAAAAATTTTTTCTTTTTTTTTTGAAGTTTAAATTATTCAGTTTAAATATTCAAGTTGACATCATGTAAAGGCACACTGATTTGAACAGATTTTCAAGTGGGTGAGTAAATGTAGTTAGTAACAGAGGAGCACAGTCAAGGCACACTTTTATAAATGTTGCAAACTACTATTGCTGTTGTGAACATGAATCTGTTAAAAGCTAAGCATGCGCTACTGCAACTGTTACAGAATCTCAATACATGCCAAAAGAAGACTTGATGAACATTGAGAATACAGTTTATTTATAATTTCAGTAGTAGTCAAACAGATATCTGCTTTCTTGTACCTCTTTGTCCTGGAAATCCCCTGTCTCCTTTTGGACCAGGCTGTCCTGGTTGACCTGGACGACCAAAACTTCCTGGTAGACCTTTTACTCCTTTAGGTCCTAAACAGAAATCAAGAAAAAACAGATTAATATAGCAGTATTATGCTAGACTTTAATAAATGCTAATAAATGAAATTAAAATCCCTCTGTGAATGTAGCTGTGTTAGAATAAAAACAGCAGCGCAAAGTTCACAAATGTTAGGTCTGTCCATAGTATTACTATCAGCATATTTCACATTAAGAAGATGACAAGGAAGTACTGAATATATTTAGAAAAAGATTATTCTCATAAAGAACTTGTACATAAATCACAGCAAATAGCTATTACTTTTTAGCATGTGTTAAACTATAGGAATATTTCAAAAACATAATAACAGGCCATAATCATGTTGTTCACAGTTCATAATACCATAAATAATGTAGCTCCTTTGTAAAACAAATTTAAGGAAGGTGTAAAAGAACAGTTATTTAATGTCTGCTTTGTTATGCCAGAGGGAATTTTGTCATTCCCAAGTCAGTCAGGTCCAAGACTCTAAGAAGTTCCCTTCTGGTGTGGAAAGCTGTGGTATGAGAACATGGTTGGTGGTTGAGATAACATCCACCTCATCTCACTTGATTCTTGTTCCCACGTTCCTCACAGCCATGGCAGGCTTCACTGCTACCATTTTTGTTGATTAGCCTTATACTGAGGGAAAAACTTGCAAGCTCTTTGACTGCAGGTGTGGTGAGCAGATGGAATGGGCCAGGTTACAAATACAAGGTTGTTAACAAGGCAATAATAAAAATAACAAGAGTTATTTTTAAATTCTGAGACATATTTTAAAAAATATATCAATTTTCTATCCAGCTGTGTGTTTTCCTGCCAAACTGAAATGTTCCATCGTATGAGACACACAAACATGTTCAGAGATAAAATTATAAACTACCTTGTAATCCAGGAATCCCTTGAATTCCTTGATCACCTGGTGTGCCTGGGATTCCTGGCAGTCCAGGAGGCCCCTTGCTCCCAGGGACAGAGAATATTCTCCCAGAGACACCAGGTGGACCTAGAAGAAAAATGTAATGAAGAACTCTTATGTTAAAAACAAGCAAAAATGTTAAAACAAAACACCACCAACAAAATCAAGCTAAGTTAGCTGGTATTCCAATAAAAGTTGTAACAATAGTCACCAGGTTGGCCTTTTGGTCCCCTTGGTCCTTCTGCCCCTCGTGGTCCAGGTGGTCCTTGATTACCCTTTTCTCCTGAAGAAAGAGATTGGAAATAGGGTTTGGTTTTTTTTTTCTGCTTGGAAACGTCAAAACAACTGTCAGATTTATGAGTCTTGTGTGATCTGTGCAACCTTTCTGAAGAGTAACACAGTCAGCAGCCTCATTTAAAATAGGAGAGTGCACTTCTACGTGTCTTTTGTTACTTTGGAATTCACAGGCCAAGTGTAATCTGTTAATAATTTGTTTCCATATCCCTGTAATGCAGTTCAACTCCCTTCAATCCCAATTGTCAGTTATACTGATGGCTGTTAGGAGGATTATGAAGCTCTTCAAAAGTTTGAAACTTAATAAACAATTCCTTTCACAGTGTAAAATATGAGGTTACATCCAGAATATTCCCTAACAGCTCTGCTGTAAATAATAATAAAGGAAAACTTTTATTGAGCCAGGAGATTTGACTGACAGTGTGAAGAAATGAGAAAGTATAATCATTGTCTGTACAGTGATTTTTAAAATTAGAACTATAAACATAAAATATACAGCATGGAACACAAAGCAGTGGGTTTAACAAGTAAATGACAATTGTGTATTATTTTATATTAGGTAATTGAAAATGAACATATTGGAATGATGCAGGCCTAAATCAGATCACACACACACACACACACACACACACACACACACACACACACACACAAAGTCTTAAAGAACTCTTAGCCAGCAGCTTATCTGACTAACCCTGGGGAATATAAAATCAATAAGTCTAATACATTTTATAGTTTGTCTGCTGATAAACTGGTGAATGAGATCATAAGTGGGACTGTTCTATGGCAAGAAAACAACCTAGTGCTTTGTATCATAATTATGATTAAATACTCCTGAGTTCATAGCTAAGAGGTCGCCAAAAATCACATCTTTTAGTGGTGGTGTGGCATTTCTAATTAGCAAACCCTGTTCTAATGTCCTTACACATCATTAGTAAGACGAACATTTTGAAGTTGCCTGAAATGGAGACAATTGAAGTTGTAGCCGTTCCTCACTTTAACAGCATTTTGAACATACTCAGAGCATTTAACTACAGAAAAAATGCTCTCTTAGTGAATGCTTTCTTTCACAGCTGACATGCATTCTGCTCTTGACGGAAAAACTCCATGTCTCTAGGATCTGACCTGGTAGGTGCTATTACACATACTGTTACAACACAATATGGAAATTTTTCTGTTTGTCACATAGAAGCGTACATAATAAGTACATGAATACCTTTTACACCTGGAAATCCAAGAAAGCCAGGATCCCCTCTAGCACCAGGATAACCTGGCCGACCTTCTACTCCCTGGAAATCAGATATCATCAATAATAAAGACAAAGCAACATCTGCATGCAATGAAGAACATTTCTTTTTTGTTCAAAAATACTTTAAGGGTTATGTACATGGAACATCCTACAACTAAAATAATTCACTCAATTTTTCAGCATGTTAGAAACAGTCATATCATTGATAATATCATTCTGTAATACCTAATGGCCAAAGAAATGACATCTCAGAAATACTCAATGATTCCTTTTTGGTCTGCTTAATTCTACGACAGCTGTTTTTAATATCCATTTTAGTATCTTTATTACACATTTATGTCTTTCACTGTGGGTGTTATTTTCATGGTAAGAATGAAATTTACAATTGAAACACTGTTTTCAATGTTTTCAATGTAAAAGAAACACGTAGCATTCTTTTCACTGACTTTTGGACCCGGAGGACCACTGTCACCAGCTGGGCCCATTGGTCCTTGTATGCCATCTGCTCCCCTAACACCTTTGCTTCCTTTTATGCTCATAGTGGGAAGACCAGGCAGCCCTTGAAAACCAGGAATACCTGTACAGAAACAGAATATGTAAAGAACACCACCAACACCATTTCACCTACATTACATACAATGCAGCTCTATAATGGTACTTAATGTTCATTGTCTCAGTGATTCCCAAGGAAATACACCCATTTATTTATTTATTAAAAAAAATAATAATAACTAAAATTCATTTTTCTCTAGCCTCTTAATTTAATCTGAGATCAGAGATGAGTTCTTGCAATCCTCTGTAGCACTACAGTTTGTTTGTTTTTTTTATATCCTTCAGTTAATTAAGTCTGGAATACCATGCATGGTATCTCACTTCTTTGAAGTCAGATTTCAGACACCATACAGCTTGCAAAGGAAGAAAGCAAAATTGAGTGGAGGGTAAAACTTACATCATACTGCATGGACCATTCTGGTGTTTGCAGTTGTAACAGTGCATGAATTCATAAAGGAACTACCTGTTTAATTATGAAGTTCTCTGGGGAAGAATTCCCTCCAATCTTGAGTTTTGGACAGGCTGGATTCTGCTTTCAATTATCAGTATATCATTTCAGATAAACAAGGAGTTATAACAATATACCTGGTCTTCCATCTGCACCAGGAATGCCTCTATTCCCTTTTGGGCCAGTAATTGCCATGCCTGTTGCTCCTTGAAATCCAGGTAATCCCATTAAGCCAGGAGGTCCAATGGGTCCTTGGTCACCCTGATGACCTTTCATACCTGGTGGCCCAGGAAAACCAGGCAGCCCCATGTCCCCTTTGACTCCTGTAGAGTATAAATAATATATTTGAGGAGAATCAGCACGATGGTGAGATGGTATGACAACTTTCAGAAATAGGACTACACAGAACATATGCTTTTACCACACTGTAAAGGTGGAATTCAGCCTTTGGTTTTAGTATATGTCTGTCCCCAAAACCATCTTGCTACTGTACAGCAAAATGGTTACACGAAGGCACAATGCAAGGTAGCATACACCCACTTTTCTTTTAAAACTCCACTTCAGAGTTTGCTCATACAAAAGAAGAAACTTGAAGAAAGGGTAGAAAGACCAGATAGGGGAATATTCCCCTATTTCTTGATGTAGCAGTAGAAGCAATGCTAGTTCAAACATCAGAACTGTCAAATCCTATTAAATTAAATTTTGGATAAAACCAAGAGCACGATAACACTAGTTGGTAGAGCAAATTCTCATTTACAAAACACTATTTCCCAACATAGTCTCTAATATTAGTTGTACATTTTGCCAGTAATGAACAAGAGTCTGCATGCCACGCTTGTAAAAATCTGCACCAGTGGAGCAGACCCACTGTTTCACAGCTGCTATGATGGCAACATTGGTAAGAAAATGTTGCCCACATCTTTCATCATCTTTCATCATCCTGACTGAATGGAAGTCAGAAGGCACCAAATCTGGACCGTATGGTGGGTGTGGTAGGACAGTGCAGCCAAGATTGGTAATGTGTTCTGTGGTCTTCAAACTGGTACAGAGCCTAACATTATCACGTTGGAGAAGATAGGCTGTCTTCTTCTTTGGCCTGACTCTCTAGAAGTTCAAACCTTCAAATTAGTCAGCATTCTGATGTAGCAGTCAGAGTTGATGGTTTGCCCAGGTTCCAGGAAATCCAGAAGTATACAAGTCCTCTCCTGTACCAAAAGTCAGTGAATGTATCAAGTTACCTTCAAGTTACCTGCTGATGGCTGCATTTTGAACTTTTTCTTCGATGAGGAATTAAAATATCCTCACTCCATGGACTGCTGTTTTGACTCCGGCTTGCAATGGTAACACCACATCTCATTACCAGTAATGATGTAATTCAGGAAATTGTCACCTTCAGCCACATATTGGTTCAACAGATCCTGACAAGATTGCATACGATGTTCTTCCTGTTCCTGTGTGAGTGTTCATGGTACCCACCTGGAGCAAACTATGTGATATGCCAACACTACTATCATAATTTCTAACACATTTGAATCTGATATTCAGCCCTTTACAGAGTTTCCAGGTCATAATCCACTGATTTGCAAGGATGAGTTGATCAAGACACTATTCATTTCATGGTTTGACTGCTGTGCATGGCTGTCCAGCATGTGACTTGTCTTTCACATCACTGTCACCACTGCTGAAACACACCACCCACCACCTCACAGCACTCACATCCACTATCGGTCTCCAGAAACATTCAGCAAACATCAATTAATGCCATCAGGTGCAATTTTTTTCTGTATGGAGGAATTCAATTACATACATTTGCTTCATACACAATTCCTTGTCAGCCACCATTCTGTCACATTTCCCCTCTGCTGCCATCTGTTGCATTGCAAGAAAGTTTAACAGAGTTTTGTAGAGAAGGTTCTATCTCTACTGCTGTATCACCAACATCTGCCCCGATGTTTTGGGACAGCATAATAAAAGGAGAGGCATTACTTTCAGAGCAGCCCTTGTATGTGCCATTTTAAACATCTAAAAACAACTTAAAGATGAAGACTCTAGTATGAAAAAAATGAAAAAAAATAAAGCTCCTATTTTCTGGGGGAAAAAAAAAACAACAACAAAAAACTCACCTCTACGACCAGGAACACCTTGAAGGCCAGGGATTCCTCTCCCTGGTGCTCCTACAAAATATTGGGTCACATTATACTTAATAGACCAGAGTAATTGCTCAAAAATGTAATTGTCTAGCACTTCATATTTCACTTCAAAATTCACTGAATCAAAGCATAGGTTTTTGTTACATATCCAATAACTGATACTTTATATTTCGAATTGGTTCTATCCTGAAAAACAAATGATATTTGTAAGCTTTTCTTTACAGCAGGAATTCTTATTTACCAGTTGTATATGAGGCAGAGTCTATAATAAAAGACAAAACTTATTTTCAGGAGGAAAAAGCCAAGTAACAATTTGCATTAGTTAAAAAGAAAAATAAAAGAACATATATAGTTATAAAAATGAAAATACTTTAACGGTGATTACTCAAAGCTGAATATGAAAAAACACACGAATATCTAAAGTGCAGGTGTCAAGAGGATGGGGCCAGAATCTTTTGTCAGGGCAACAAGCACAGTTTGGAGCACAGGAAGTTCCATCTGAACGTGAAGAAAAGATTCTTTACTTTGAGGCGACAGAGCACTGGAACAGGCTGCCCAAAGAGGCAGTGAAACTTCCTTCTCTGGAGATATTCAAAACCTGCCAGGACACTTTCCTGTCTAACTTACTCTAGGGAATGTGCTTTAGCAGCAGGGCTGAACTGGATGATCTCCAGAGGTCCTGTCCAATCCCTGCAAGTCTGTGATTCTATGAAATGGCTTATTAGGAATGCCTTCTCAGGATTTTATTTTTAAGGTATTAATATATAAGAATATTTTGACTGTAAAACATGAGAACATTCTGTCAGAATTCAGCACAGGATTGTATCTATCTGTGGACACTGATGATATCAGGAATGACATTCAGCTGGAAGCTTTTACACACTGATTCCTTTCATCCTTTTCGTGTGAAAGCTGAGACCCCTTCTTTAAAGGGATTTTGGTTCTCCTAGGTTTTCTCAGGTGAAACACATAATAATCATTAATAGCAGTACTTAGACTCTTGCAGAAATTAACATTTTAAGGGGAAATTATGACAAATCACACGTATAATAGATGAGTGATATGCATTTCATTAATAGTATGTACTATAATTACATAGAAAATTAAAAGCCTTCTACCCATAAAGTCCTCTTCGGCTCCACAGAATTTTCTTATTAATCCTCCCCCAAAAAATTCCTGTCAGTTTAGCTGGAGAAAAAAAGTAAATTTTAAAATATAGTGCAAGTATTTCACTGCAGTTACCTGGTTCTCCCTTTAGTCCTGGGGCACCCGGCATACCGTCCTGACCCTGATTACCTCTTTCACCAGCAAGTCCATTTTCTCCAGGGTATCCAGCAGCACCTGTGAATTAAAAAGGACCACAGTATCATTTTTTCTTCTAGTATTTTACACAGAAAAGAGAGAAGATCTGAATTTCTTTTATAAAAAAATTATTAGTGCAGCTACTTCAAAGATAGAGATAACCATCTTGTATAAAAACATTTGTCAAAAGCAGACTATCTTTTGTATTGAGTCACTGGACTTCAGTGGATTTAGAACTCTCACAATTTTCACCATTCCCACTATTAACATGGAACCCGTGGTGCTGGAAATCCATACAAACAGCATGCTTTCTTTCCCTAGCTTTATTACAAAATCAAGTTTTCCAGTAGATTCTGATCTTTGCTAAGTGCTGATAAGCCAGCATTAGTTCACTAAAGCCAACAGCACAACATAATTTAGATGAAGATCTGCAAATGAGAATATTCTATGCCCTTTTCTGAAGACAGGGACTGACGGACTTTTGTGAAGTCTATATTACAAACCTCTTCTGCCACATATTTACACACTACTCCTTATGCATTTCCTTAAATGGTTCAATATTTTCTGCTGCTCTAAGAAATGACTGCCATGCTCTTCCTCCTCTTTCCTCACTTTCTCCTTCATGTCTACTTATGTCTTAGTTTATTATTCCCTTTTAGTAGGTAAAACAAGCCTTTCCTACTATCTGTGTTGCTACCGTATCTTGAGACTTTTGGACTGAAAAAAGAAAAAGAGTATCAAGGAAAAGGTTTCACAGTACTGAAATGAAATTAAAACTTATTCCCTGAGCTGAACTGAGAACATTGAAAATAGGCTGTTAAAGAACTCAGCTGAAATCGGAGAAGACAAACAAAGCTTCATACCAATATTAACAAAGAATGTAACTATATCAGGTAAAGTCTAAAAGCTCATAATAATATCAACTGTCTCATTACAAAGAAAATAATAAACCAGAGGGCAGCAATGTGGGAGAAATGCTATATACCATACCAGGAGGGCCTGTAACACCCTGTTGTCCTGGGTGGCCCTGCTGTCCTTTAACACCAACATCTCCAGGAAGTCCAAGTCTCCCTGAAAGAAAGAGTTTGGGAGAGAAAAAGAGGCAATTCCTATTATCTCTTGGAATTTAGTTAGCCTGGATGTGCTGACAATAAAGGAGCTGCTTGAGGTTTATGACAGCTGAATGTAAAAGTGCCACCCCACAGGCACCTTGTGTAGCTTACTGAGAAATTCTCTTCTAATAGAATATCAGCATTTAATCCCTCTCCAAAACAAAACATACCTGGGTTTCCAGCAACTCCTGTTTCTCCTCTGAACCCAGGTAGTCCTGGTGCTCCTTTATGTCCTGGCTGACCTTGGGATCCTTTTTCTCCTTTCCTGCCCAAGGCCCCAGGAGCCCCTGGATCTCCCTAAGAAATAGCAGTTGCACACAAACAGGTAAGAATGACATTATATTCTGTGTTTGAAGAATAGAAAAATCATGCTTATTTTTAAACTTACAAATTAACTTTAGTCCTTAGATGTTTTTTTCATAGACTTTTTCCCAATTTTATTCTAACAGTTGTTCTTTTGATAAAAAAAAAACCAACATTCTACACATAATATACAGGTATACAAAATAGTAAAATGCACATTTTGTCTTGAATTACAACCAACTTGCAGAACAACAATCTCTTTCTTGATATCCAGCCAATAAAGAAAGTAAACTGATAATGTGGACAAATTACAGGAAGTAATAATAAAAAAATAAAAAAACTAAAAAAATAGTTTGTCATCATCAACCACATCTTTTGGGTAAACTCACATGTAAAGATTCACAGTTAATCAACAAACAAAACATGTGAAACAAAATTGCATCCACTTTGTCTAACTCATATCTAACTAAACATATTACTAAAAAAAAAAAATATTTTTTTTTAATGGTATCAATAGGCTTTCAAAAACCAACATAGTTTTAGAGTACACAATTTTGGCATTTTCTGAGACTATTTTTCTGCAATTCTTGATGTACAACAGGATTTTTGTATGTATCATCATAAGCATATAATCTACTTATCTCCTGCAAATTCTACAACTCTTGCTTACACATTTTTCTGTTTCTATTGTCAAGGACTCTGCTTTTTAATATGACAATGTTTCTATTGCCTCTATACCTTAGGACCAGGTTCTCCTGGGAGTCCAGGAGAGGGGTGCCCAGGGTCTCCTTTTTCACCTGGAAAGCCACCATAGCCTGTTGGACCAGGGTCACCCGAAGTTCCTGGAAAGCCCGGAGATCCCTTCTGTCCTTTTTGACCTGGAAATAAACAGATAATAACAGCATTCTTAAATGGATCATAATCACATATCACATTTCATGCTTTGGTAACTAGTGCTTGTATATTCAGATATTCATTCTTCATCAGAAATGAAGTATTTTGTACAATTACTGATTTTAATTCCAAACATGTTAAAAAAAAAGTTTATTACAATTAACAGAATATAAATTAAATAATTTGTATTTAATTTATTATCTCTAATTTCAATAGTTGAAACTTGTAAGTCTTATGACCACTAGCCACGCATTTGGTTACAAAACCAGATTAAGCCACTATACATTACCATGAACTGAATAATTAATGACCTGAAATTATTATTTAAGAAGTTATTATAAGCTATATAAAGAGATAGTCAGTTACAATACATTATTAACATCCGGTCTAAAATTCAAGAAAGAGAGAACTCCTTTCTATAATTCAGGCAAATGCTGGGGTGTAAGAAGTCTAAAAATACTGCAGAGAATAAACCTCAACTTGAGTAAGTCTTGTCTGTGCACTTACAGTAACTGCTCAGATCTGCGTGAATACTTCTGTACAGCTCTATCAATTTACAACATGACTTAATAGAAAATAACCTGGAATTCCCATGTTCCCTTTGTTTCCTGGTGCACCAGGAAATCCTTGTCCTCCAGGAATCCCTGGAAGACCCATAAATCCTTTGACACCTGCAAGATGAAAAAAAAAGTGTCATCTTCACATGCCCTGCTTAGATACTGTCTAGTAGAGCTGAGATTAATACAGAATCTTTTACTTCACACATTGCATGTTGTCTTGTCATTTTATAAATCAACAAACAGTGAATTTTAATTCTTCCCAGTGCTCTGGATGCACATAAAATTATCAGTATTGTTATCAAGGAAAAAAAATTAAATATCTTAAATATTGACACTAACATATTAAGGTTTGTGACTCACCACAGCACTTCAGAATGGCAACTGAACCTTTGAACATTTTATCAAGATCAGTAATTTCTGTTCATGTGTTGGACTTTCCTTCCATGGTTCAGCTGAATTCAGACTGGTTTCTTGGTGTGTCACAATCACTTTAGATTAATTTAGCTAAATTAACATTCAGTTTAACGATTGCAAAGTAGAGCTTCATCTAGACATCTAAATTCCAGGGTATTGGTAATCCCTGAATATTTAGGCATGTCATATCTGATTTTCTCCCATAAAAAGTCAGAGAGTACTAAAGTATTTGCAGCTTTTTCCGTGATGGCTACACTGCAACAACTACAAAGGACATATCAGTGATGATAGTGGTTAATCCCATCATGATAGGAGCTGTTTCAATTGCAAGACTAAAATTATTTCTCATTTCATAATTGTCAAAATTTCTATATATCTAATTACACTATTGCGAGAAATAAATTATCTTAAAGAACCAAAAATACAGAAATACAGAGAAGTAAAATTTTTTAGTAGCATTCATTTGGAAAAAAACCCACCATATTCATTTCTCACTCAAGGCCGACGTGTATCATTATGCGTGAGGGCCTGGTGATGTCAGAGCAAACTGTGAAAGGTAGGCTTATAATTTACACTGAATTTTTTTAAGACTTATTCTGAAGACCCAGTAACTTTCAAAATAATATTATCTTACCCTTCATGTGATATGGTAATTTTCAACATACATACTCCATACCTGGTACACCAGGTACTCCTTCAGATCCAATAAGACCTGGGGAACCTTGGACACCTGCATCTCCTTTTTCTCCTTTTAGGCCCATTCTTCCTTGAACTCCTAAAATGGTTAAAAAAAAAAAAAAAATTAAAAATTGCAGAACAGCATTTTAGAATGCGAGTTTTCTAACTCTTTTAAAATAATGAAACTGCAATGGAGTAAAATATTTTATTGACAAACACAAGAGACAAGCTCACAGTCCATGCCTTCTCTATTTCCCATATGAAGACAAAAGGAAGTTCCTGAAATCTACCACATGAAAAGGTCTACACAAAGACAGACAGCATTAGTTGAGCTTGCACAACTCATATGCCTAGTCTCTGCTAATATTACACAGAAAATAAATCCTCTGACAGTCAAATATATCTAAGCAGAGTCAACTTCTTTACGATATGGTACTCAGCTGGTAAGCATACTTGTTTCTGCTCAAAAGCTACTGTGAGTGTAAAGACACATAGGATTTATTGATATATAAACTTACAATCATATTTTATTACTGATTTAACATTACAATGTGAGGATTATTAAGGATGGACTTGTCAAAACAGAGATAAATATTCAATGTAATATCCAGCTATCTCACAAGAAAAGGCAGTTAGAGTGTTCAGCAATAATTATTAGAAAGCAGTGTGAATACTTTGAGTAGTAAAGTTACTGTCTTCCATATGTTAGAATCCACTGAAACTGCAACACACATGACAACCCTAACTAGCTTTGAATGATGAAAAAGTGAATGGGTACCTTTTGAGCCTTGTTCTCCTTTATTTCCAATCACAACCAAGGTTTCAGATGGTCCAGGAAAACCTTTGTCACCTGGTTCGCCTTGTGCTCCAAGAAACCCTTTTCTTCCTTTTAGCCCTGGAGAGCCAAAAGAACCTGAAAGAAAATATATTTTCTAAGGATAATATGTTGAACATGAATGAGACAGAAAAAACAAAAACAAAAACAGAGCAAGAAGCTCTATAGCGAATCATTAACCATTTTCACAAATACTATGAAGTAGCAAAGGTGACAATTCAGTACTGCTAAAAGAAAAACTCTATTGTTCTGTTGGTTGATTGCTAGGGTCCAGAAGTCAAAGATTTACCAAGACACAAAGAAATTCTGGTTAAGCTCCTGTATTCTTAAGGAATAATGAAGGCACATAATTTTGTCACTTGCCTCTGATACCAGGGTTGCCTGGACTTCCAATCCTGCCAGGGGGTCCAGGAATTCCTAACGGCCCCATTATACCTGGCTCTCCTCTAGGGCCTGTGGAAATGAAACAATAGAAATGTCTTCATTAATACTGATCAGTAACATAGAACATTACTTTAGAAAGTTATGCATGTGTCTACGATTTAAATGATTAATTGATTCTTTTGATTTTTTTCTCCATTTCTAGAACATAACCACTGAAGCAAGTTCATCAGCTTTTAACAACTGAAACAGCACTTACATACAGATCAACCTGGGAAGTTTGAGGGGTTACTATCAGCTGCAATGGCTTTTACCAATTATTGAAATAATTGAGAGTGAATGTAATATACTTGATATCTGCATTGAGCTGTGACATCTATCACAGGATGTGTGGAAAAGACATTCCTTTCTGGCTCGGGAGCCAGCCAAGACATGACAGCTCATCTCAAACAACATTAGAAACCTAGGTTTGGCCTGCAGGTTTGTCATTATTTTTACAGTTTTATATATGAAAATGTACTTGCCATCTCCTTCCAACAGTATAACAAAGGATTTAAGAGTACTGAAAAATCTTTATTAAAAAAGCTGCATTACATACGTGATTTCTTTTATTCTACCAACAAAGTACAAATGTGTTTCTGAAAAAAATAACCCAACTAAACAGCTCATCCTATAGGGATTACCAACTTAAGTCAGTTCTGTAACAGTTTGAGTCATAACTCTGAGAGACTCAAGACCTGAGCTTTTTTTTCCTTTTTCCCCAGAAAAAAGAAGAAAGGTAGCATTAATAAGCCATCCATTTGAAAAGGGATGCTGCGTAAGAGCTATTAAGTTCTTTACACTTTCATTATGCTGGGAAGACTCTGAATGTTAACTACTAGTATTCTGTTTCAGACACTGCCATACAGAAAACAATGTGAAGTAACCTATTCTTTAAAGAGCGCTGTAGGAAACTTGGTACCGGTTCATAACAGCTTCTAGATATCCTAATGACGATTGATTTTCTTCCATATAAGATCATACAGGTCTCTGTATGAAAACTGCTAATGTAAACTATTCCTGTATTTTCAACTTAGAGTTAATTACATGTCACCATGACTGACATCTTTTTGCAGAGACTGACTAGCTTTCCATGTCAAAACACATTTGCAAGACCTTACCTGGCACACCAAAGACTCCTGGCCTTCCAGTCTGCCCCTTGAGACCAGGTAATCCTGTGTTTCCCAGGAGACCTATTAATCCAGGTTCCCCAGGCTTTCCAGCAATTCCTGGGATACCCAAACCAGGAGGACCTAGTTTGCCTTTTGAACCTAGTGAACCTCTTCTTCCTAAGAAAAAATGCATGACGGTGTATGTAAGTATACCTTGCTGGAAAATTAACCTTCATCTCCATCTTGCCATCGTAAGCACAAAGCTCTTCTTGAACTCTGACAACTATACAGAAGATATATATGTGAAAACACACAGGACAGATCAGACAAACGTAAAATACCAATTGTACATTCATCCTCCAAAAACTGTGGGGAGTGATTTCCCACCATGATGAAAAAAAATTTTTGAGTTCACATACAGGAGAATAACTGAGCTGAGTGCCTGAGTGTGTTTCTCTTGAAATGGAAATCATATGCAGTGGATGCAGGTACTCTGAGTCCCCGAACTGGTTTTCCCTATAGTTGAGACTCTTCCTCTGTTTTGCTTCTTTATCAACAACATTGCACGACGTTCAACCCCATATGAGACAGATGACTGAAACAGACTTTTACCTGTGAAATTTGCATCAGTTCATAATCACTTTTTGGGCTATAAAATGCAATCTGACTTTCAATCTATCTTAATCAGTTGTCTGCTTCCTCCAACCTGCAGATAATAATTCTTTTTAAATGAAATCTCATTTTCTTGCAGATTATCCCATAATCAATATCCATAAACAACTTCAGATCCCTCAGGACATCGGAAGGCAGAAATAAAACCCAGAACCACTTAGCCAAAAAGCTTGTTTGATTTGGAGCATCCTACCTGGTGGGCCTGTAGCTCCCTGGGCACCTGGCAAACCTGGCAGGCCAGTAAGACATTCAGCCGGTTTCCCTGGAAAACCTGGATCCCCAGGAACACCAGATGAGCCTGGATCTCCTAAAAGAAAGGAGACTGTTTTCATAACAATTTAGATAGTAGTTTGAAGCTTTGAGTGAACACTGTTTGACTTGGCTTCCCTTTCCTTAAAATATGGATGTAACTTGCTGTGTTTCTCATGCTTATTTGACCACAGTACCTCTTAGGCCACTATTGCCATCACGTCCAGCTTGCCCTGGTAAGCCTGGAAGTCCTGGAAATCCAGTATCACCTTTTGGGCCAGGAATGCCACGACCTCCTGGTGAACCTAGTTTGCCTGGCTCTCCAGGAATAATCATGCCTGGGTCACCCTGCAACACAGAAATATGGACAATCACTGTGTACAGTGCTTTGCAAATCTGCCAAAATATCTTCTTCACTCTGTGATCAGCTAGATTTTTTTTTATTAATCATCATCTTTTCTTGGGGATCTTTCACTTTGCCATATATATTGTCTACAGTTCAGTAGAACACTGGATGTTTCTTATTGATCAGCTGCAGATTCCATACCAATATATTAATTTGTCCAAATAGCTTTTGAACTCTTACCTCCTACCTCTAAGAAATTGCTACTAAGCATAAAAAGGCAATTCCCTCTGTTTGGCTGTTACTGCATTATGATGCTTGCTTAACTGAAAAATTTTGGACCTATACCTGAAAATAATTTTTTTCCTTCATTTTACATGACAGTCATTTTTTTCATTATGATGTTTATTTAAGTAATCAAACTCAGCACCTAGAATATTCACAATATTCATGGTTTTCTTCTTTTTCCCTTGTAATTCTTCTGAACACTGTTTTCCATGAACACTGTTTTTTTATGACAAACATGTCAACTCTCTTCCCTGAAAGGAAAAGTTGAACTGTTTGTTCTTACTGGCTGACCAAAGTGTTGGCTGTTAGGGGTACAAGCAAACCAGTATGTTCTTAAGGCTCGTTAGTAGAGCTCAGCATCTACAAGCCACTGATTACATATTTGGACCACAAAGGTCACTTTAAATAAGTTGTTCTGTGGCATGAAGCACAGCATAAATAATAATTAAACAAACAAACCCAAACAATTTAAACCTTCATTCTTTGTCATATTAAAAAAAGAAACAAACAAACAAACAACAACAAGACACATAAAAGAATGTTATATAAACACACACAAAAGAAGAAATGCCATCTTTTCAAAACAGTGAAGCGTTATTATTTTGTTCACATTTAGATCCTGATTATAGATTAGTCAAGTGTCCTACAATTACATATGCCATCATATATTTCTGAGTAGCCATCTTTTCAGAAGCTGTGGCATTTATTTATTATTTATTTTGCTGAAAGCAAAGCAATATCCTCACTGTGCTGTGAAAACAGAAGTACCAAAACATCCCAAACATCTGGAGATCTGAGATCCTGCAGCTTTAGTTAAAATTTTACTTTACACTTCTCTTATAAGAGATTTCATTTGATTGATTGTGCACCACAGGTTACTAAATACAGGAGTTCTTATTTTCCTTACATTTCTTAATTTATTTGCACACTGTCACATTTAATGAATGGTACCTATGGAAAAGTCTGTGCTGTATTTCTACACGAACCTTCTCTCCTGGTTGTCCTAGATTTCCAGCGCGGCCTGGCTCTCCAATCTTTCCTTCACAACCTGGTGCCCCTCTGCTTCCAGGAAGTCCTTTGTCTCCTGCAAATGAAATAAAATGTCAGACCAAATGCTGTATTTATCAACTTAGTTTACAAATGGGTATTTGTATGTCTGCTGTTAAGCACTTCTTTCACTAAGTTATACTTAACACGCATCTGCCACATGGTCTTATTCTCTAAGTATTATCACAATACTCATTGTAACACTGCTCAGTTACTCATTTCAAGTGTTAAATAACTGTCTGGAGTGAACCTGTTGATGTGCCAGTTCCCTACTATTCTCTTCAACAAGCTACATTGTAGTAATTTTAGTATCATAGCTTTCTACTTTTTGTTTGTAGGTTTCCTGGTGGGACTATGAGAGCAGTTCATATTTCGAGGATCCAAAGGCACATATAAAAGATGGGCATGACTGTGCACGAGGAGGGGCCAAATTCACAGCATTCAAAATGCTTTCTATTTCCTCCAGAATAGACCAGATACAACACTGCACTGAATCAACACTGATTAAAGTACTGCTGCTTTTTCAGCTCTGTTGTATGCATGCAGGTAAGCAGAATCCATCTGAAGTAAGTGAGGAGTGAGGCACTCAGAACTATTTATTAGGCCAATATTCTGGGAAGCATCAATTCTTTGAATCATCTTTTAAAATATCTTCCTACTGACAACTTCAGTACATCTCTGAAATACTTCAATTTTGCAGTCTGAACACAGTGTTGCAATTATTGCGACTTGAAGGCAGGAAATTACAAGAGTGCTAAAGATCACCTAATGTTCATTCATTTTTTTAAAAATCTATTTCAATTCAGATTTACCTTTTTTTTTTTTTTACCATTTACCTTTTTTTTTTGTTTGTTTGTTTCTTTTTGTGGTTTTTTTTGTTTGTTTGTTTGTTTGTTTGTTGTTGTTTTTAAGATCAAAAAATATGTTTTACCTTTTGGGCCCGGATTTCCAGGAAACCCAAGCCCTGGAAAGCCTGTGTCACCTGTTGGCCCTGGATGCCCCACATCACCTGGCTGACCACTTGTTCCAATCCTACCTGTTCAAAGAAAATACATAAACTGTGATGCATCTTACCACAGAACTTTATCATATAATAACTTGGTGTTTTCTAGTTTATCATTATTAATTAGAACATCACTGTATATCATACTGTTGGATCTTTGACGCTATTTATCCTCCACATCACTTACAATAATAATTGTGATCTTTGTGTTCACAACATCAAAGCAGACATGAGTCTATGAGCTAAGTCTTTATGCAATACTCCCAATTTCAATTTTTTTGAACAACTATGTACAGATACAAATCTTCCACTTGCTGAGGTTGTTCAAGCAACACATCGTAGGGCTTAGGCTCAGAGCAGAACCAACTATATGAACAGAAGCTACCGTAAAACTGACAATAGATTTTTCTGTGCTCTTCAGGGCAGTTTTAAGGACTACTGTTCCATAACATCAAATCAAAGAGGCCTTACAGTTAGCTTCAGTCTCACTGCAATATTTAGAAGACCAGCTGTCAGAAAAGCACCCCTCTAAACCCAAGCCCCGAACCCACACATAAAGGAAACTCACTCACAGTATATTAGAACAATGGTTAATAAAGAAAAAAAGAGCCTAGAAACTTAGTAATATAATTATAAATAATTATTTAAGCAAGCTTACCACTACTGTATAAGTTGTGGGTTTTTTTTTTTACTGTCACTACTGAGGGCTTAAGAATGCTTTAAATTTTAATTCTTCTCTTTTGAGGACTGCAGGAGTTGCAGTGTATTTTAGATTAGACTTTCCAAAATTATGCCAGAGGTGCCTTTTAGGATATATGAGCTGCAACATATACACCTGAAGTTTCTGTTTCTTGGAAAGCAGAATATAGCATTGCTTAGACCCTCCACTGTACTGCACACTGTGGTCATGGCCCCACGTGCCTTTTCTGTTCATTTTTATGTCTACTTTCCCTAGTTTTCTTAAAAGAGAAGGATATAGCTTATTCCTTAGTCTCTGTACCACAGAAATTCTTACAGTTCTCTCAAAATAACCCAACAGTTTTATCCAGCTAGAGATGGTAGAGAAATTCCAATCAGATCATCTGTGATTTTGACATTATCTAAACATACTCACCAGGCACTCCTGGGGGTCCGGGTAAGCCATCTGGTCCTTGAGGTCCTGGCAACGCAGGCAATGGAGCTATCCTTCTGGTCTCTCCTTTCAGACCTTCAGGAAATACATTATCAAAGTCTCATAGTTTGGAAATATTAGGCATTTAAAAAAATAACAAGGAATCTACTCTGTTAAAAATGCAGTCTTCTTCTGCAGTTCCCATACTTCTGAAGCTCTGACAGATTTTGAATAACCTTGAAATCCTGACTTAATACAGGGGTATAATTTTATTGACACTAAGCCCACCTCATGACTTCCTCTCAGCCCTCCTGCTGTCTAGTGGAAAACCAGAAAAAAGAGCACAAAATGATTTCAAGTAGGAAATAAAAGTTATTGTCAACACAACGACTGCCCTCAGGTCAGATGAAAAGAAACAAACCAAAAAAACCTCACATCCAGCAATGTCTCCAACAGAGATTTATGTAGACTTCTTGATATGTGGAACAATATGACAAACCCAGAAAGAGTGACAAAGGCTCAGACAGATGTAATCTGATAATTGCATCTCTTTGGATAACAAATTCCCATCTTAAATGAGTCAACAATTCAGGTATACAGCATCCAATGTATCAATGCAGTTACAAGCACTAAGCTTCAGAATCCCAAGGATCTAAAATTCAAAAATTCTCTTTAAGAAGTGACTTAACCCTACCTTGAGTACATCTCTCCTGTCCAACTTCAAGTTCTTCCAGATTATACTTGCCTTTAAATAAACACACTGATGATTCTGGTACTGATTCAATCCTTCCTATTTTCCTTGACAACTTAGCTCACACTGATAACTATAAAGGTAAGGGATCTTTTTTTATTATTAAGATAGTCTGGAACAGCACTGGAACCTGCTGCTGAAAAATGTGCAGTCTTTTTCCTTGGAAGTTTTCAAGGCTTGACTGGATAACCCTTTGAGGAACTTGTTCTAATCTCATAGCTTACCCTTCTCTGAGCAGGATTTTGGACCAATGGACCTGATAGAGTCCCTTCCAACCTCAGCTGTCTTATGACTCTAAGATTTTTGCTACTGTTATTTGTGGGACTGAATCTGGAATAACACACATCTCATCCTAAGAAAAACTTCCTATGTTTCATAATTTGTATCTTTGTCTTCAGTCTCTCTCTGCAATTGAAATCTTTAACATGGGTAAAGAACAATAAAATAGTAAGTTACAAACCAGCTTCTCCAGGCAATCCATGTGGACCAGGCAGTCCTTTAGAGCCTTTGACACCTCTTATTCCTTGTGGTCCATATCCTGGCAGTCCAGGAAGCCCCATCTCTCCAGGAAAACCAGGGTTACCAGGCAATCCAGGTTGTCCTCTATCTCCTTTTGAACCAGCCAATCCCTATTAATGGTTACACATGTCTGTATTCCACAAATCACTTGCTTTTCATGCTAACTTTCAAAACAAAATGGCTGGTTCTCTGTGACTGTGATATCATATTATTTCAGCAGCAGAGCCTCTCTGTTAAATGGAGAGGAATTTATGACTGAATTAATTGTGATCAAGAAAGTATGAATTTTAGTATCAGTGTTACAAGCATAGGGCATTCATTCATCCTTTTTATTAAAAGTGAAATAGTACAAACCAGCTCAATTTTCAATCACTGTGGCAGTACACTGAACGATTACTTTTTATTTTTCAAATAAAATTTTTGGGGAAAAACAACATTTCAACATTGATTCTCCTTGAATACAATGAGGTGAAGTTTAGAGAAAGTGATATTTGAATTGCTTTTACAATTTCTCAGCCAACACAGCACAATGATAATTGCTAGTTTCTTTCTGCTGCACAAAGAGCTCTGCCCCAGCAATTCTAGTCTTAAAGTAATTCTCCCAGCTTTTGTGGTTTTTCTCAGCCCTGACTATAGATTAACTCCTTAAGACCAAAAAAGAATCATTTGGACTTTTTATTTTAAGCACTGTGAGATAGAAAATCCACACAAGCCTCATTTATCTCTGGTAGTACACAAGGATATTTACTGTCATTCTTTTCTTTTCACTTGGGATTGGTTGCTATAGATGAGCATAGCACCTCTAAGTCAAGGAGAAGCTATTGAGCTGAAATACCACAATAGGTAAAACAGATCATTACATAAAATAAAATAATTGACTAAGCTTTTCATGAATTCTGTATTCACTACAGATAGATAATGAGTACTCACCTCTTCACCTTTAGAACCTTTGTAACCTTTAGAGCCAGGTCTTCCCAGAAATCCACTTGATCCCTTTCTCCCTTTGTCTCCCCTGGGTCCTGGATCTCCTTGCTCCCCTTTTGGTCCCTCTGGATACACATACCCTGGCTCACCTTTTGAGCCCTTACGTCCTTGATCTCCTTTAAAACCTGGAGGTCCCTGGAAAAAAGCAACCAGAAAATTTCAGTGCTAGACATGTCAAGTGTTTTTTTGTTTGTTTGCTTGTTTGTTTTTCAGTAGTATTTTGATTGAATACCTGAGAATGATTCTCCTTATTCTCATCTCTATTTACTGAAAGTGCACACTTCAATCAGTGGCACGAATAAGAGTACAAGAAAATATCTTAAAATCTGAGATTTCTTCTCCTTGTGTGACTCTCTCGCTAGGAACACTGTAACTGCCATGGTTAGCTATCTGTAGCTAATTTCAGTGCTCTTTTCCTGACCTCTCAGGGCATAAAGAAAAGTTGAAAGCACACTCAGATCTAGTGACCTTCTGCTCATGAGATCTAGGGAGCTGGAAAAAAAACATTAGCAGGCTCTTTCAATTATACACCTGTATGTCACTACAGTATATATTTGTGCATGACAGTTTTGTCTTGGACAGTGTCTACTGTTCTTTCCCAAGAATAATAATTACTACAGGCACAAGTTAGAACAACCACCTGCTATCTCTGTGGCAGGTGCCTGCCAACCCTCTTCAGCAAGGTTCCCAAGAAGGAACATTCTTTGTACCAGTAAATGGAGCATTATGATTTTCTCAGTACAGCTGGGGCTTTGGCAAGTCTGGACTTGCCAAGATATGCTGGACACAAGAGAAGTGAGAGATCTGAAAAAAGGCACAGCGGACAAAATATACAGTAGACATATACAGAAAAAACTGTAACATGCTTAACAGCCACTGCCATGATGAACAGAATCTTGGCCTCCTCTTCACCTAACTAGTCAACTTTAGTGTCCTCAGCTTCTCCTCACAGGACCTGTCTTCCAGCTCTTTAACCAGCTTTGTTGCCCTCCTCTGGCCAGTTTCAAGCATCTTAATATCCTTTTGCTATTAAAGAGCCCAGAATTACACACAACATTCAAGGCAAGGCCACAACAGAAAATGGTTGAAATCACTTAGTGTAACACAGCATGTAACACCAGCTGTGACATTTACATGAAATTATTGTGGGATCTGAAAAATAATCTGAAAAATGCAAATCTTACTTGAGCTCCTGGAAACCCTGGTGCACCTGGAGAACCTGGAGCTCCTTTGGGACCTGGTGCTCCTTCTCTACCTGCAAAAGAAACAGTGTATTTTGCAAAGGAAAAAGAAACCAAGGAAATGGATTTTGACAAGCTCTGATAATCACACTCAGCACTGAATGTTACTGCCATTCACTGCCATTCACACTGACTGCATGAGTACAGGCTTCAAACAGCACCTAAGTTCAGTGCTCAGGCATAAATGCTTTTAGGGCACAGGCTCACATCAGCAAATGGAGCTACATTATGCACACTTATTGCAACATCAGGGCTATTTCAGGGACCCAGAATATTGCATGCTGCAGACATGCTCATACCAGTCCCGATTCTCATCCTAAAAGTATTGGCATTTTCTATTATCCCATGAGGAACACTGAGATCATTTACCAGGGATGCCATCCTGGCCACGTGGCCCAGGAGAACCAGGCAGACCAGGTGTTCCCGGAATATAGCTGCAATCAGTACACATGCAAGCTTCATCACCTAGAAGGAATATAATAAATTAGTTGTTTAACAGCAAGTAACTCCTAAGCTTAACAAATGTGTTATATAATTTGTTGCAGAGGGTATCCAATATATCCTGGTCAAAGAGCAGTAGCAGGAAATGTGACCTTAACTTCAATGGAAAGTCACTTTCAAGCACTACAAGATTACCTGTTGCCATACAATGAATCAGAACTGACAACATTTAAATGACAACACAGGAACATCTACTTTTTTTTAAATCTCTTGATTCTTTTCAATTCTAATTACAGTAAGCTGTTTGGTTACTTTCTACTGATAGCCAATATTTTTCAAAAGAAGAAAGTAACACAGGTTTCGAGCTAATATGGCTTCATGGGACCACTTTAATGACTGGCAAGAGGCATACAAATTCAGCAGCTCTGTGGTGATAATTGCAGAAGGAACCTTCTCTCAAAGACCAATTGCTGGTGTTGGACATAGCAACAGGGGAACACAAAACCTTACCAATTGTCCCAGAGAAGGTCTACACCCTGACTGCAGTGCTATACAACTGATGTGTGTTGCTGGCATGTGCACTGCTCTGAGCTGCTCTCTTCTGTAAGGGGAGGACAACATCTTGCTATCTCTAAAACTGTATCTAAAAGCCCCGAACTTGAATAGCTTTTGAGGTCAATTAATTCAAGACTTTCAGAAGGTTTGTAAGTGATAGCTTTCTAAAAGGAAGCAGAAATGGAAAAGGAATTTTTCAGCTACGCATCTTAGTTTTCACATGAAAAGGCCAGTAACTGCCATTACACTCTGCTCCTGATTTCATTCAGAGGAAACACTCTCATGGAGGAAAAAAAAAATTCTACTTGAAATCAAGATATACAAAACCCTGTAGTGAGGCTGAATGCCATTTTTTTTTTCAACTCTAATTTCTGCTGCATTATAAGAGCTCTCAAATATGGAAAGGCTTAGTCCACAACAGTAAGATTTCCAGGTGTCTCTGATATCTTGTTACCCCAGTGAACACTATGTCAACTCTGAAACACAGCCAGCAAACACAATCACTGACCTTTCATGCCCATGTCTCCTGGAGGTCCTGGAGGTCCTGCACACCCTGGCTGTCCAGGGAGTCCTGGTAGGCCTGTTCTAAAAGTTACTCCACCTGTTAATGAAACAAGCATGGCACCAATACATCAGACAGTTATTCATTTGCTAAAGCAGAAAAAAAAGTCCAGAGATGAGCTGGTGTCAGTATTTATTTAAGAGAGAACTACCTGGACAAGTGCAAAACACCTTTAACTTCAAGTACATGAGGATAAGTACGGTAAAGCTAAAGTAAATCTCATCAGACCGCTGCTGGATCCATCTGTCCAGCCAGGGAGGTGCCTTTAGAAAGCACAATCCCTTTTGGGGGGCATATTTACATTTTATTTGAATCAACAGAAACATAGCTCTTACTTTTCCAGAACTGGAAAGAAAACTTTTATTTTAATTGTAGATTATTAATGCTGTTCAAGTATATTTGTCATAATTATTCTGGTGTATTTACTATCACTCTGGAAAAAACAGAAGATACATTGATCAGTACATCTGCAGGATAGATATCTTTAAGAGAGAAAAGGAAAACATTACATCAGAAAAGAACTTGTGTAAGCCATACCATATATAAAAGGAAACACATTGTTGGTTCTTAAAGATGTTCTCCTGGTTAATACACGTTCTGAAAGTGTTATAAACTGCATCTACTCAATTGGTTCATCTATTGCTTTGCTACTATTTTGTTTTCATGCTGCCAGAACTTCAAATCAGCTCTAATGCCCTGTAAGACCTATGTAGGTATCTGTGTGATCTCTCTAACTTTTAGAACAGCCCTTTGCAAAGGTAGTTTTACAGAAATCCTGCAGTTTTTGGAAAAGTTAATCTTAAGAACAGATTTCTCTCATTAGTCCTCCCTGTGATTCTATAGTAGATTTTTAGTCACAGTTATACAGAACAGTAAGACATTTTTATACTAGGAAATCACAATTTCTTCTTCCCAGAATTTCATTAACAACGAAGCACAGATCTTTGCTTTGCATGCTTTTTAATGAATACTCTAAGAAGAAATTTCAAAAGAAAAATTACGTTGTATAACTCAATATACACTTCATTCTTAAGTATTTATATAATCTAATCAATTAGTTATTGAGATGACTCTAGATTTGCTGTTGTACATTGTGTATACAATAACAAAATGTCACCTGGTTCTCCCGGAGGACCTGGCAACCCAACAGAACCAATTCTGCCAGTAATCCCAGGCAGTCCTGGAGGGCCTATAATACACGAGCCCACCTGTCCTTTTTCTCCCTTTGTTCCTTTCAGCCCAGGAAATCCTGGGGGACCTCTCAGACCAGGTCTTGACACACCTAATTAAAGAGGAATAAATATCAAGGTAAACAAGAAATGGAACTTCGAAGCAAAGTAAAGTTTGCAGGTTGACAGAGACAAGCATATTGTCTCAGAGTCCGTATCATGAATCTTTTTTTATGCTGTGATTTATTAAATAATTACAATGACAGGGTAAATATATTTTTAAATGTTTTTTAAATTCTCTTTCAATACTTGTCCCATCAAAACTTTTGGGTGACATATTTTTGCTACATACAGTTATGTTCAAAGTCTTCCAAACTTAAGATTTTCACAAAGCTGACAGGGCATAATAGCGAGGTACTGAATTATTACACATACCTGGTCTACCAGCATCTCCAGGAGGACCCTGTGGCCCTGCAAAATAATTTAAAGTTTAGAACTTTAATTGAAAAACTGTATGATCTACAAGGCACTAATCAGTAACACTGATTACCATCTTTGGACTTCTGCATTCTATTCTCATTATATCTTTTAAGAGTTTGGTTTTGCCTGTGTAGCAAATATACCACTTATGCAACTGTTGCACACTGCCAATTCTCACTAAAATCTGGTTCAAATAATTCAATACATTTTAATTTTGCAGCATAGTCAAAATAAATGAAAGAAAAAAATTATTATTTTAGGGTGATAGGCAATTAAAAATAGCAAATACAATCTGTGAAAGCCAAAGAAGAGTAGTAGAACCTTCACAGAAGACTTACAGCCCTGATGGTTTGTCTATGGCATACATAAACAATACTCTGTTGGAATTATCCACTGAGGTCATTATACAGAATACGAGTGAGTTTAGGTGCTGAACTCAGTTATCCATACAATGAAGTACGTCAACTTCACTACTTTTAAAAGGAATTTCAGCTCTGCAATTTCACAGGAATCATTTGGAAATATTCTTGGAAAGGCAGAAGCAAGTTGCTGGGTACTCAAAAATCTAGCCTGCAGAAAGCCCTTTGAGTAAACTGCTCTTTCCAAAAGATTCTAGTCTGAATAGGCTACTAACCAGGCATGCCACGTTGCCCTTTGGGTCCTGGAGGTCCAGGAGGTCCTGCATCTCCTTTTTCACCAACTACGTCATAATACTCTGTCTTAATAAAAAGATTGCAAGAAAAGTAAAAATAATAAGAGTGAAAAGCACAGTGCATCACACTGACCATTTAGTTAGAACAATGTTATGATTTCATTCATCATATTGACGTTCTGACACCATGAGACCTTTCTAATCACATACTAATTACTCACAAGCAGACAGAAATTGAAGTACAATTGTATTCTTAGTTCTTGATTTCAGAGTTTCTTTAAGTGAACAGCAGAATCAAAAAGTTATTAGCTATAGTTCTGCTTTTTCGTAACTATAATTTTTTTGCTCTTTTCTGAATTATTTTGCATGGGTATTACTACCCAAAAATAAGATTACAGTAAGAGTTTTGCCTTGCTACAAACACATTACATTGAAAGGCAGATGGACTACTAATACACCGATTTTAAAACAAACAACAACAAACTGCTTAAAACTAAAATTCATTTTTTTTTTAATTAATTTTTTGAGAAGCAGTGGGCATTTTTACAGCTTCGCCATCATCACAAATTATTCAGCTTATTTGAAGTTACTTCTTTTTGAAGGTTACCATTAAATGCACATGGGGCCTTTAAGAAGGCCAATGGAGTGGAAATAACTGAAGTCTACCGAGATGCCATTTTTGCATCCAATCCTACATGAAGGGAGATGCCACCTTTGTGAAACACCCAACAATAACAGTACCTCCCAGAATGACATATTCCAGTAAGAGCATCATGAGGCATCTGAAATTGCCATATGAAATCTGTTGGGTTTATTCTAGTGGGTTAGACAAATGTTATGATGAAGGTAATTTACACTTACTTGACCACAAGCTCCAGGTGGACCAGTGTTTCCTTTTACACCCTTCATTAAAGGACAGAAATTGTTTATTTATTGAAAAACAATACTTGACATGACATTTGATATCCTTTGTTTACTTTGTACTTGTGTACTTTGTTTATAACATCAAAAGACTTCTATTCCCAAACTGCTTCTGTTCCCAACACAACTGTTCAGTCACGTTCTCCAAAAACTACAGAAACATAGCAGCAGGCAAGGATGGGCACACTAGTTCATGCACATCGTTTATTAAAGTTGGCCCATTCTCTATTCTACATATTATTGTCATATTTCAAGTAAAGTAAATAATAATGAAGACAACATGCTAACACTGAAACATACCTTATCCTCCTCCTCAAAAATAACAACAAAAGCATTAGCCAATACCTTAGCTCCTTGTCTACCAGCCAGTCCTGGTTTGCCCTGTTCACCATTTTCTCCCTGCAGGTGATAGAGACAATTTTATGATAAATTATCTCTTAACACTGTCATCAGTAAGATTTAAATTTGAATTTTTTCTTTTTTCATGGTAATGGCAATGTGAATGAGACTTGCTCAGGGGGAGAAATCTAAGTGAAAGACTCAGGTTAGGCTAAAGTTCCTTGCCTGCAAGCAATACTACAGGTCTGACATGCAAACCCACATTTATAATGGCATATTCTACCAATCCTAAGGTGAAACCCCTCCAAACAGCACAAATGTATGAGGTTCTAATTTGTCCTCCCTCCACAAACTGATGTTTCTGAAAGAGGATAAACTAAACACAATGTGATATTCCCACTTATAGCAACTTCATCTTCCAGATCTTCTCCAATGTCTGTGATAATGCTGATCTCTACCACTAAGAGATGTCAGCAAGACCAGGACGGAAAATAATACAGACTGCAGCTAAGGCTTTCTGCAAGCATAGATATGTAAGGAAAAGGATTTTGCCAGAGCAGATGCAGCTCAATGCACTTCTTGTTTGTAATGCAGAAATAGGAAGGGAACAATGACCTGTCTTTGTGATGACAGAAGGTATTATTCGTGTTAATTGAATGACAAGACAGACAAGAAGTCTTGCAATCTGTCATTCCAAGTTTTCATTCAGACTGGAATGTTTAGACTGAGTGCCAAGGTTGTTTTGACACAATGAGGATAATATTGTAGTAGGAGAATGACATACGAGAAATCAGGTTTTGTAAGCTCACTGTGGCACTAATTCAATGTTATTAAAGTGAAATAAATATAAAATTGAATAACTGTTGAATCAGTATACAAATGAGATCATTTTGGGTATAAAATAACATAGTTTAAGAACTATATTTTGGCACTTCCTCCAATGTAACAATTTTAACATCTATCAGTCATCTCATTTCAGGCCAAGATGGCTGTGACCTTGACTATAACTTTTCTTTGTAAAAGAATGTCACTGATTCTATTATTTAATAGATTAATTAATTATTAAAAATTATTAATTAAAATTTGTCATTTTGTTTCTTGACTTTGGCTAAGGTAAGGTTTAACTCTCTTGCAAAATTTGCAATTTGATTAACTAGAATGAAATTCAGTTGAGTTAATTTTTTGGAATTTAATGTTTATATTTGACCTGGCTCAGACTCATTTGATAGTTAGCTGCAAGCAACAAGTCTTTTTATTTTACAAAGATGCAACAAGATCTATGCAGTGTCCTTCTCCTCCTGCACAAATCTATAGGTATGTGGCATGTTCTAAGGCCAGTTTAATGACAGGAAATGTTTAACAATGCATGCAAATCAGCATTCTCAAACATATTTTGCAAAGCTGTGACAAGATGTGACCATGCTGAACAGATGACTGTTACTTAAAAAACACTTTTAAGGTTTCCTTCATTACCGGTAATCCAGGTAGACCCGGAGCACCTTCTTTACCAGGTTTACCCTACGAAGAAAAAATAAAATAAAATAAAATAGAAAAATAAGAAAATTTTAAAAGATCTCTAGTCTGGTTTACTGGATGAAAGAGTTTTTGCATCTTAGAAAATCTGATTTGAAAACTGGAAAGCAGAAGAGTAACAGCTTTTCCCTGACAAGCAATAGAACAAAACTGATTTTCAAGGAAGATTAACATATCGTGCCTTTCTCACATACCTGTGCTCCAGGTTCTCCTTGGTCACCCTTTTCACTCTGAGAATCACCAGTTGGCCCCTGTAACAAAAACATCCTCAAATACATGTTTTTAAGTCACAGTTTCTAAATTAAATACATATTTATCTTTTTTTAAAATTTTATTTATCTTTAAATAGTGTAAAGATGAAGTGCAAGTAAAATAACATTAATAGGTATTCATTAAAGGTCAGAATAAATAGCATAATACTGGACTCTAAAGAATCGCCTTAATTAGGCGGTGCTGTCCGAATGTCTGAATTTATGGGATTTACTGTAGTCTCTTACTGTAAATCCCATTGGCCCTGGAAGTCCTCTTGATCCTTTTTCTCCTTTCTCTCCTCTCAAGTCCTATTATAGAGAAAAAGTAATAAATTCAAAATTTAATATGCTCACCGAGATGTTTCTGGGCTTATCTAAACATTCTAGTGTAGCAAATAGGAAAGCCTCAAATTACTGACAAGATCACTTAAGCATAGATAGCTCTACTTAAATATCTAAATGAAAAAGCAACTTACTATCAGCACCCCTGCCTACAGCTAGAGGCACAAAGAAGGTTAAGAAAGGCTTCTACAGGTACACCAAATGGAAAAGAAAGGTCCAGGAGGACCTTTAGGTTTGTGACTACCTGAGGAGCCTGAACATCTTTATGTCTCTGGATCTTGATGAGGTGTATCCCAGAGTCCTGAGGGAACTGGCTGATATAGTCAGCAGCCTACTCTCAAGGATATTTGAAAAACTGAATGGACTCATTTTAAGAAAAGCTTAGTACCTAACCATACCTACAAAGTGAGAATGGGTGAAAAGAAATGTTACAGGACAGTGAGGGTAATGATGCTCTTGCACAAAGTACAAAACAGTAAAATGGTTTATTTGAACATGGTCTTTGACTATTTTACTACCGTCATGTTGTCTGGTCCACTTAATGTAACAATAACAGTTCCTGGTGGTCCAGGCGGTCCAGTTAATCCAGTGTCTCCCTTAAAAAAAAAAAAAAAAGGAAAAATGAAACAATTACAAATTTTTGTTTATCTGTTTGTTTCAAATTACGACTGCTATACATTTGGCATTGTGATTTTTTTTCTGTCTTTACAAATACTTGTTAACACCATCAACATTTCTGTTTGCTTGCTTTTTATCTCCCAATATATAGAAAATAGTAACTGCTATCTCCTCATCTCCTCTTAGGTTTCTATTATTCTATCATAAGCTTTTTTCTTCAACTTTTACAAGAAAAGAGTTTGTCCTTATATACTGCCATGTTTCCATCTTCCAGTAAAAGACTTCCACACATACACTGAGAATTTTATTCACAGTATCTACTTTTCCAAACATTTCACCATAGTATATCAGAAACAAAACTTAAAAACATTTTAAGCATTGCATGCAAATACCTTTCTTCCTTTGGTTCCTATTACTTTCATTCCCATAAGACCCTATAAAAACAAACAGTTTGGAGCTTTTTACAAAATTTATTTTATTAACACCCATAGAATATGCAAATAGATGTTACATATATTAGAAAGTTTTCATTTTCATTACCAATCTGAGACTACCTTAGGTCCAGGAGGTCCTGGTCTCCCTGGTATTCCCTACAAAAAAAAAAAAAAAAAAAAAAAAAGGAAAAGAAAAAAATAACCACTGTGTAAAAAAAATTATGATATTCACACCTATGTAGGAACCCTGAAGTGCCCAGCTTTCACCTGAGTTACATTACTTTTTTTCATTTCTTTTTTCACTTCTTTTTTCACCATTACCGTTGCCATTTGTTTAGAGGTGAAGATACAGTAGAGATTACATGGTCTGACTGCAAACACATACCTCTGTTATAGTTATTTACATTAGAGTTTAATGTTAATTTATGGGTAATTGTTTTAAAATAAAAATTTATGGCTACTCAGAATCATAGAATCATAGAATCACAAGATTGGAAACAACCTATAAGATCATCTAGTCCAACCATCTTCTCATTACCACTGCTACCACAAACTAAACCACATCTTGCAGCTCCTCATCCAGGCATCTCTTGAACACTGCCAGGGACGGTGACTCCACCAGCTCCCTTGGCAGGCCATTCCAGTGTTTGACCACTCTCTGTGAGAAGAAGTTTTTCCTCACATCCAACCTAAACGTCCTCTGGTACGACTTGTGGCCATTTCCCCAGGTCTTGTTTGTTGCCTGGGAGAAGAGGCCAAATGCCCCCTCACCACAACCTCCCTTCAGGAAGTTGTAAAGCACAACGAGGTCTAAGGACAAGGATATGTCTGAAAACACAGAAATTATCATGCATTAAAATAAACAGGAAAAAAAAAAAGAATCAGATGTATGCAGAAAGGTATGGATTTCACAAATTCAAGTCTCTCTAAACCTCAAACAAATCTGAGAGTCAAATAAGTCCATAGATGACTTTAAAAATCAAAGGTTAAAGTAACATGTGATATTTAAGATCATACTCACGGAAGTTCCTGGAAGGCCCTGTGGTCCAGTTTCCCCAGGATATCCTTGAACACCCTGAGCACCCTGCACATTAAAACAAACAAACAAAAAACAACAAACCAAACATAACATGAATAAATGTCCTGGCAAGATGGTGAGAAAATTGTAATGCTAAGTTCATCAAACTGAATAACAGGAGCAGCACTGTCTCTTGATTTCCTTTTTATGTCTCAAAAGAATGCAGAAATAAAACTGTGTTTTGAAATACAGAATAGATATCTCTTCTAAAACTAAACTACGTTAGGGTATAAGTCCTGCTTAATGCAACAGTGGACATTCTAATTATCCGTGTAGTCCTACTGTTAGACAAAGTAAGCCTGCAAGCTTTGGAATATTCTATCCAATAAATCCTATATTTTAAAGCTTCATTTCTGAAGAAATGGGAAATTTAGAATAAATCTATGTTCTTCATTTATACTAACAGTCAAAAATAAACATCTGCTCTGCTTTCTTCTATTAATCTTGATGTTTTGTGGAAAAAATATAGATCACGTTTTTTGTTAACAATTCTGGAGAAGCTGAACCAATTTTACTTCATGGGGAACTTTTTACCATTTCTAAAGTAATTATTCTTGTCTGCAACCTGACTTTCTCATTCCTATTTAACTAATAGATAAGGAAGACTGCTGGTTCTGAAGACAAAATAATTACCATTATTCTTGTGTACTTTGTGTTGAAAAGTCAGAAAAAAAACTTCTGATAAACTATATTTGTCAGATTATATGAAGTTAAAAATTTTTAAATACGGTTATTTTCTCGTTTAGAAATGATTAATTGTAAAAAATACTACACATCTATAAATACATAGTACATAAAAATAATCTATTATACGGACACGCATATATACATACAACTATAGGTATATATGCACTTAGATCTCACAGTAAGAGTTAACTATTCATTACCTGATGCCCAGGCATTCCTGGCAATCCAGGATCACCTTTTGCACCATATCCTTGGTCATATCCATCTGCAGGGCACCCCTGGACAATCCAATAGAAATCAGATAGAAAGATATGCTTGGAAAACTTTTTAATGAATCTTAGGCTTCAAATCTTCCAACAGAGTATGTAGGGAAATAAGCAACATCAGAATTGCAAGACGATGATAAATGTCCACTACAGATAGTTCTATCTTAAAAAATGATTTTATTAAACAGCATATAACTTTTTTAGGCATCCAAGTTCTCTGTATTAGGAGTAGTTATCATTTCAGATCTACCTTGTTTTCTTATCCACAGTCCTGAACATTTTTTCAGTTTTTCTGTTGCTTTTTTTCATCTTTAACTACTCTCTAGTGCATTTACAGGTTTCCATATGAATTCCATAAGCTAACTGAGGAAGAGCTTAATTCTTTGCATGCTTGAAAGACAAATTCTGAACAAGCAACAACTGTAGTTAAAGGAATTGAAAAAAATATACAATTTTGTATCTCAAAATGAGTACAGACGAAGCACCAAAATTTGTTGTACTTCTGGAAAATAACCCTGTTTTCTGTGAATGATGATCTCAAGTACTCATTTTCAGCAGCAAACATGAATATTAAGTCTTGATTTCCAATAGGTTTTTCAGATAATATACCGTAAATGACTGACCTTATCTCCTTTGATGCCAGCAATACCCTACAGAGATGAACAATCATATTACTAAAACAGAAAAGCAAGCAACAATGGTGAAAGGACACATTATAAATATTCATTAAACTCAGTGCTCTTGAAATGATTTATTTTCACAAACACCGTGTAGCCAGGTACACACTTGCTGTGCCTGATTTCAATTTAGGAAAAAAATGACATATTATCAAAAAGTAGTCCAGACACACTGCTGCAGTTCTACACACGCATACAGAACAGTCTTGAGGTCAGATCTTAAAAAAACTTAATATAAAGCAATAGGAGAGTTGGTACAACAAAGATCATGTTTAGAAATTATCTGATTTGAAGCCACTAGAACTGGACAGGTAGCATTGCTTTCTCTATTTGTTGTCTGTAAGCTTTTTTAAAAAAACAATTTTTTACATAGAAAAAAAAAATGGGTAAAAACAATGCAGCCACAATAAAAGTATTGGCTTTAATTCCTAGTTCTGTTATTGGCTTAAGTAGACTGTATCCTCAATGGTATGTGGGCACGAACTGAAAATGGAATCTATTTAAATACATCCTGTACACCTTTAAAGATGTGTTAAATTTTCATGACTATGCCTTGTGTCATTATAGAGCTAATATCAGATAATGTATTCACATGCATTCATTGCCTAAAACGTTGAGGCCTAACGTATCAGATTATGCATCACTTTTAAGTTTTGCTTCTTTACTGCACTCTATTCATTGTTAATAAATTGGGAATACCTATATATTTCAACTGTCAATACCAGCTAATATAAGGCTTTACAAAACTCCTTCACTGAGTGTCTGTATGCAGTAAAAATGCATACAATCATGAATTTCAGAGACACCTACTGGAATGCCTGGAGCACCTCTTCTACCTGGAGGACCTGGGAAACCCCGATCACCCTGAAATTAAGAGCAATTGTTAATGCTTATTATTATTACTATTATTATTATAGCAAAGATACAAAGAGGTTTTTTTATGTTACCACACTAAAATTACAGTTTCTATCACATTAAAAGAAGTGGCATAGCCTGACCTTACAGGTCAGAGATCAGAATTTATTAGTTATATCAGACCAGTTTTCTGTTTTTCTATAAAATGCATTATTTTCCATAAAAGGCATTCTTCTTACTCCTTCTTTCAGATTGAATTCTTTCTTAATATTAAATTTTTCTATTAGTTGCCCTTGGGATTTATGAATTGCCAGCTGCAAGCTAGATACAGGTAAATCAAAATGAACAAATTTCCTCTTCCATTACCCATGTTAAAAGAAGGACTGGTTGGGCAAGGCTGATTAGGTCTTCTGGACTTTAGGCAAAATAATTTCTTTCTGTCAAAACAACAAACATAATTCTTGACAGAGCAGGACATTAACTTATATTATTTAATTATTCTTGCACATAAATATAGTGCTTTTCCTTCCACTATTAACTGTCATGATTCAATTTTTTTTCTAGTCTGTAAAGTCACAAACCAAAACAAACCAAAATTGTTGTATATTGGAGGAAAAATAAGAATGCTTTGGCCATTCCCAAACATAGTCAATCACAATCACAACCAGCTTGGTTTGTACCTTTGTGCCGTTGCAACCTGGAACACCTGAGCGCCCAGGGTGGCCAGCAATTCCTGGTTCACCCTAAAAAACATGTACAAAATTGACACAAGCTTTGTTTTTGCACATTCATATTACCTACAGCAACATTGAAACAGTTTGGAACAGTGTTTCCCAAAACATGATAGATTACAAAGTGTACTGAAATCATTACAGTGAGTAAGAATTGCTGATGCTAAGATTGTTATCTATAGGTTAACTGACAGACAATTCAGATGTTGACACTGGAGTGAGTATGCTGGGTTGAGAGTAATTGTGTACTGAAGAGTATTTTAAGAGAAAAATTTGATAAGTCAGATTCATTTTTACTTACTGGAAGGCCTGGGGGACCTGAAAATCCAGGGATTCCTGGGACTCCCTAATTGTACAAAAACAGTAGAACAACGTCACTAATATTATGGAAAATCTCATCATGCAAATTTCCTTTTTGTCATACTCTAAATAGAATGACACATTCCATGACATAAATTTAAAAAATACTTTGAAGGCATAGAATCACAGAATGGCTTGGGTTGTCACCATGAGCAGAGTTGCTATCCACTAGATCAGGCTGCCCAGGGACCTATTCAGCCTGGCCTTGAACACCTCCAGGGCTGCGGCACTCACCGCTCCTCTGGGCAGCATATGCCAGTGTCTCACCACAATCTGGGTAAAGAATTTCTGCCTAACGTGTAACGTAAAACTCCCCTCTTTTAAAGTTATTCCCCCTTGACCTATCACTACCTGTGCTTGTAAACAGTTGGTCTCCCTCATAGTTATAAGCCCTCTTTAAGTGCTGGAAGGCCACAGTGAGGTCTCTCTAATGCCTTCTCTTTTCCAGGCTGAACAAGCCCAGCTTCCTCAACCAGCAGCACTTTGATCATCTTTGTTGCCCTCTTCTGGACCTGGTCCAAAAGCTCCGTGTCTTCTGCTGGCGGCCCCAGGCCTGGACTCAGTACTCCAGATGAGACCTCATGAAGGCAGAGTGGGGGGCAAAATCACCTCCCCTCCTAGTGCTGGCCACCCCTCTTTTGATGCAGTCCAGGATACAGTTGATCTTCTGAGCTGCAAGCACACACTGATGGCTCATGCCCAGCTTGTCATTTACCAGAGCACCCAAGTCCTTTTGTTCAGGGCTATTCTCCATAAGTTCTTGTCCCAGTCTGCAGATGCATCTGGGATTGCACCGACCAAGGTGTGGTACCTTGCACTTGGCCTTGTTGAACCTCTAAGGTTAACATGAACCCACTTTTCAAGCTTGTCCAGATCACTTTAGATGGCATCCCTTCCTTCTGTCATATGAACTCATTTTTCACATATTACTGTTAGCTTTAAACAGGATATTTAATACATACAAGCTTGTTTAAAACAAAAGTACTTACTCGTATACCTTTGGGTCCAGCCAAGCCCACAGGCCCTGGTGAACCCTAAACCAGAAATGAACAACTGCATATTTCAATATAATAGAGCAAATACAAAACAGGGTATACAATATTTTTTAATATTAGTACCAATGTGTGCATATGCAACTACATATATATATATATATATAGAATATATATAACATATATATATATATATATATATATATAGGATTTGTCTATTACAAACACTAAAAGAAACAAGCATTTAATGCAGCTTCTATACATGGTGGCATTCTGCCCTACCTTTCAGTGTTTATAGGAGATATACCTCATCATAGCTCAAAAAATAACTGTCAGCATCTTAAGTGAGCAGTTTCTATAGATCTTTTCAAACCGTGAGGACCTCTCTGCGAGGAAAGAGCTGGAAACCTCACGTCAGTATTCAAGAGTTTTTCACCTCCTAGGCATGAATGATGTCAATGTAATGTAATGCTCGGCTATATTTAGGTACCAGCCGCTCTAACCTGTGCTGTTTTGTCTAGAAAGGAAACCGAGGAGCAGGTTGAAAGGGAGCTGAAAAAATGACAGCAGAACCTGTCACAGCACAGTGTAGACAGAGTCTGCTAGAATTGCTGCAAGATATTTAGAGCATTACTGACAATATGAGAGAACTTTTATTCTACCTTGAAAGGAAATGGGGAATGTACAGAACCACACAGATCCCAAAATCCTGCCTGACAGTTGATTTAAGATAAAATCACATGCATTGGATTAGTAAAACCTAACACAAATATATACTACAATTTCTGATATTCAGGCAAACAGAGATGTCCTCACTAGATAAATAATTCTTTCTGCAGAAGTTATTATCACTTATTACAAGGGAAGTGCATGACTGAATACTTTTTTATGTATTCAACGAGTTTACATAAACAGCTCATCAGCATCTACAAGATTTACCATAAGTATCAGTTCAGCAAAATAGAAGAGATAAATTGGAACATAATGCAACACCCAAACAAAATTATAAAGAAACATTTATTTAAAGGTGTAGATAAAGAGTGAAGCCACAGGATGGAGGCCCTAGATGTGGTGTGACTATGGCAGTGCTGTCAGCCTTTCTTCTTAACTTTCACTACGTCAGAGTTCAGGCCATACTTACAAATAGCTTATTCAGCAAAGAGTGATTTTATTGATGACAGCAGGAATGTAGGTCTTCAAGACATACAAATATATAAGAATATATAAATAACATGTTTGGATTTTTTTTTTAATGAGCAATTTCTTTTTTTCCAGCTCATTCAGAAATTACTGAAAATTCATATTTTGACTGAGTTTTTGGCATGTTGGCAAGTAAGACTAAGTCATCAAAGTCATTCTCCCCAGAGTTCGGGAAAATATAAGGCATTTCCTAGATAGAACAAGATTTAACTGAAAAAACATATTTTGCTTCAATTTTTCTTAAATCTATTTTCCATTATTTGCCTCAGTAATAGCTTGTTTCCCCTCTTTCTAGCAACAGATGTCAGAGCACACTGTTTAGACAAAATTGCAGTTATGTTACTGAAACATATTTAGACGTGTGCTCCTTGCCTCTGGCAAGTCAGTCCAAGTGCTTTGCACAAAAACTTACATTCATATCACCTACTTCCAGTCATTCAAAACTGAACACTGAAGCTTCTAACCACATAACATCAATCACTAAATGGGGGATTCCTGAACACGTGGTTTTGTTGTCGTTTTTCCTGTTCTTTTTAAAAACAATTCTTTTTCCAGTCATATCTTACTTCCACATTCAAGCACAAAACCAGTGTCTTTCTCTCACCACTGAAACCTACCTTTGGTCCCTGTGGTCCTGGAGGCCCTTCTGGACCTGGAAAGCCTCTATGACCAGGTGGTCCTGGAGCACCAGGGAAGCCTTTTTCACCCTGTAAATTATAAGAAGTCTTGAAAATATTGCTGATTCCTCTTTTTGATAACGAATTTGTAAGACACTCGTCATTTTTAGTACCTCTGAACTTCTACATTCGTGTCTACTACTGTGGCAGATAGATTACCCTTGCCCATACTGACCTGGGCTCTGCCTGCATAATATCACTAAATAAACACGCTAATTATGAAGATATCAGAAGACACAAGTATTCAAGTTTTCACAAAGTACAAGATTTAACTGGAAGCATGAAAAGTTTAGGACAGTAGTTGTTACATATTTCTTGTTTATATTTCTTTCCCATGCTTAGCCTCAACAAGAAACACAGATTTGAAATCACCATAGCACTCCTAATTTCTGATTGGCAAACATAATGACTGCTGTTATACAGCAAGGAAATCATTAATATCTTTCTTCATGAAAGCCACGGGAAGAATCAGTGAAAGTGAAAATGTAGTAAAACTGTTCAGATAGAATAAAAATAAGTTTAAGTTACAGCATTTTAACATTTGACTGTGTCTCAAAAATTAAGCCATCCAATTATATTTCCACATCCTTTTTAAAGGCTAAGTGCAAATAACCAAGCCATGTGAAGCAAACATGGAAGACTAAAGTTAGCCAAGTAGGATAAGGGAGGTGAACTTACATCGGGAAGGGCACTCTCAGCTTTTTAGTTAAATATAACAAACATGCAAGTTTTATCCTGGTTAAAATAAAGTACTTCAGGCCTAGGGACTCATAGAAAAGATTTAACTCCTTAGAAGCAGTTTAGCATGATCCCTTTTACTTCTTCTACCCATTCTATAATTCTATGACTTCATTGAAGATTTAATTATTCAGGACTGTTTATATCACAGTGTGAGATGGAAGAGAGAGGATGGGGTTATCAATTCCTTTGGAGCCTATTCTCCTCCTGTTTTATCAGAGGGGACTTGCACACAAAAAGCATTTGCAATTCTGCTGTGCATAAATTATCTTACTGTTATTCAATATACAATAGAGGCTCCAAAAATAGACTTGAAGACCTGAAAATACCTTGGCTTGTCTCTGCATCAATTCTCACCCCTCAAAACCTCACCAGATTTTAAATATCACCTGAATTGTGAATGTATATACACACCTACATATAAACACAGAAAATAATCTCAGAATATTTAATCACAAATAAAGGATGAAGAGAGCATTACAAAGTGTCCATGAGATCCGTATCACAAACAGGAACAGCTTTTTATAACAAATTATTTTTTTTCAGCCAGTACCACCCCAAGAAAGGCAAAAAGGAAATGTTGTACCAAGATGTGCCACTGGAGGGGGTGCGGTACTATCCCATAGAAAACGAAAGTAACTCTGAAACTACTGAACAACACACTGCAGCAAGCTGTAGGATGCACATCAGCTGTAGAGAAGAAATGTGTTTGCCTGACCACTCATCTCCATTCTGCACCTGCAGTTTCACCCACACTTTCTTCTTCAAGATTTTTCAGGTTGGAGAATTTCTTAGTGTTGAACAGTTGTGAAAATGTACCAATGAATGCAAACTGTCCTCACCTTCAGCAGTGTTACCTACTAATTGCTCAGTAGATTTAAAAGGGAACTGATGAAGACAGGTTGTGGGTGTTCACTCATCAATATTTCTCTTTTAGTGGGCAGCTTATTATTTTTTTTCTTACTTTTCACATTCTATTATGAGAGAACTGCTCTCCACCAAAACTAAGCTTCCTAAAGGTAAGAATAGCAGTGGTGCAGTACGACATACTTCATACACAATTACAGAAGAGAAGTCTTTACCAACCAAATGTATTGATCAGTGGGAATGATCACAACCCTAAGTATATATTGAGATCATGGCGTGTACATATCTGAAACCTATTGTCAAGATTTAGTACAGCAAACACTGTGTCCCATAGTTACCCTGAACTACAACCATGACTTCTCTAATAATGCCCCTTTCATTGTGAATCAGTTGTTTTTCAAACTACAAGAAAGAGTTTGAAAGAATTTTTGGCATTTGTGTAATTCAGGTTTGTCTAAAAGCCACACTGAGCCTCTGCCAAGCAACTATTGGCAACAGGCAGAGTTGCAGTTCTGTTGCTTTTGATAGACTTGACACTGTTGTCCTGCTCCTGACAAGGTGTTTGTGATCAGGACCCAGAAACTCATCTCGGTCTGCAGATTTCTCTGTTTGATACCAGAGCATGAATCTTCCCTCAGGAACTGGAAAAGGTGAGGTCAGTGGTGGGTGCAGGTAGGCAAGGTCCAGAGGTAGAAAAAGAGTACAATGAACACAATGCCATTATGAAATTTGCAACAGGAGAGCTGATGCTGTCAGGATAGTGAGAACTGAAAGCATTTGCTAGGAGTTTATAACAGGAACCTGACCAAACACCACGCAAAACTGTAAACAAGTATTAATTAATACTGATAAACATAAATTAATAAATACATTTTAAATTCTTATTCAGTGTCCAGAGTTATTTTAAACTTTTTTTTTGTGAGATAACGTATTACCTTTACAATTTACCATAGACCTCGCTGACAGAATACCAGCACCAAATAAATTCACTTGCTGTACCAACTCAACTAATGCATTAATAATTTTCCACTCTAAACTAATCCTAGGAAATATATATTTGCTCTTACCTTATTGCCTTTCACGCTATCACAAAAGCAGGGGCTTTTACCTTTGCATACACAGTTCTGTAAAAAAAAAAAAAAAAAAAGACAAATTATATAATAAAATCATTTTCCTCATCATGTTTCTTGGTGAAGGACAAATGAGGACTGTTTTTTTTTGTTGTTGTTTGTTTGTTTTTAAGATAATAACTGTAAAAAATGTTCACGAAGAGTGGCACTCAACAGAAGAATATTGCTCAGTGCAGTGTTTTGAGACATGTAAGGTTGCTGCTTCCCTTTAAAAGTTGGGGTGAAGGCCAAAAAGCCATGCTTGACAAACAATTAACATCGATACAAAGTCTAAAATTCAACAGTTTGGGATCACAGCACTAAACACTGATGATTCATTTTAAAATTTATAAACTAGTGGGAAAAAAAAAAAAAAGACATTCAGTAAGTAATTTGATAGAAAGTATAACTACATCAGCTAGCTCATGTGCTCAGTTTGAGCAGGGAGCTCGAGCAGAGCTGCAAAACACATCTGAGATCCCCTGGGGAGTATGAGAAATGTTAACCTCCCTATGCCCTGTTCCTGCCCAGCTATCATGCAGTCAGGACCTGAGCTAGCCTAGCCCACCTGGGATGACTCTGCAGAAGACTTCTCAGTGCTCAGGTAGACATATCCTATCTCAGTGTAGTAAAATAATCTTAATGTAAATTTTTTACATATTAAAACATTGTTGCGATTATTGAAGCTATGCATCTCGTACAGAGGTGGAGTACAATGTATTTATTGTTTATGTTGTATACTTAAACTTTTCCCTTTGCTTTTGAAGCTTTTGCTGAATGACTTTTTCAATTGTATCCCTTTAGAAAGAATGTTACTTTTCAGGTTACCTTCTCATTATAATATATATATTGATCACAATTATACTGTGGTACAGTTCCAAACAATAGGAAAGTAACAAATATCCTATATCTGTTTTAAGAATATTTTTACAAGTTACATAAAATTCAGAAAAAATTAAATAATTGTATTTTTAATGGGATTAAAGCCTTTAAGATAGTATGATATAAAATTTCTATTTAAATCTTGAAGAAGACTTTAAGTATAAATACACAAGTATAAAGTTACAGACAGCTCAAAATGAACTGAAAACAGTCTATATGACAATCAACGTTCTTGTTTCCTATTCAGTATCAATGCCTTCCAACACCAATAATTATTTTCTTCAAAACAGTACATCTTAGGGACACATCTGATAAGCAGTATAAAACTGGAACCTGATCAGTGTTCAGCTTACGAAGGAAAGATGTAAACATACAGTATGCAGTAAAGGCAGTTCTCAATTGCAGGTCCCATACGTTACTCCTGTACAGAGCTGGTGAGTGACTCAAGCTACCACATTCTTAAGGCTTGCAGATGCAACTTATAAATTAACTGCAAAATCTATGAGACCCAATTACTCAGCAAACTCAATTGCTAAAGCAAAGATTTAGCTTACAAATTTAGTAGATGCATCAGCCCAGGAAAGGTGCTGCTTACTCAGAAAAAGTGCCTGAAGTATTCCAAATTCTCCTGACTGATTTAGCTTAACCAGGAGCACACCCTTACTGACCACACTGAGCTTTCCTGAAAAATAGACATCACTTTCTCTTATTGCAAGTATTGGCTACTTGCTATTATATCTCTATGGACCTCAGTGAAGTTGCACCTTATTTCTAATCATATAGGTAATATCAAAAGCAGGTTCATTACAGAACTTGTATGCAAAATAGAGTTTTCAGGACATGGAGAAAAATAAGCAAGGAAATTATTCTTCCATAATGGATACAATCTGTGGAAAAATAGTATGTATGGATAGCGAAGAAACTTCTTCCTGTAACTTATAGTCACAGATCAATCTAAAGTTAAATGCAGGAAAATGTAAAAGTTTATGATGCTACATAACTAATCAGTGTTATTTAACTGTTTGAAGAAAAAGAGCCTTTCTTCTTCAGAAAATGAGAATGCTTAGAATGTGCTTGATTTGCCATTAGCTAGCTTTCAGATCAATTTAGATCTCTTTGTGAACACAGATAACTTTAAACTAAACTGAAAAGACCAAAGATGATTTTACATTACACAGACAGACAGATGGATAACACTAAATGTTTTGGCATATGATTTTTACATAAGATTGGATTATGCCTTCTGTAAAGGGGCTGTGAACCAAAAAATCATTGCTCACTTACACCATTGATGTTGCCTGAATGTCTCCACAGCCTTATAAGATGCCTGCTTCTTCTTTATCAGAGGATCATAACACAACAATAGTATATAGTCAAGTTATACAATTGAGGCAATTAATATTAGTTATTAAAACATTATTTCTCACAATAATGTCTTCATAAGTAGACGCATTACTGCAGCCACATGCTGGCTGCACGTTTTTCAGTTCTGTGACTTGTAGTAATCAACTCAATTTATTTCAAACAAGTAGATAGGAAGATGGAACCAGATTTCCAATCCAAAAATCTAGGCCAAAGAACAAAGCAAAGTCCCTCTGTGAACAACAAATCAAATGAATTAAGCGGTGAACCGAAATTTTAAAAAACAGTGAACAAACAAAACAATGACAACAACAAAACATGCAGAAAAACACTGTGTTGTTGAGGAAAGGATGATGAGCCAGTATTTCTCCTTACATGCCGTTCTATAAAGAGATCTAGAATGACAGAGGAGGCAGTGTTTGTTTTTCTAGACTTGGAGAAGAGTTGAGTAGGTCAGCTATAATATAGATATACACATTTAAAAAGAAAAAAAAAAAAAAACCAACACAACACAAGTAAACCTGCACCAAAAATAGAGATGCAGCAAAGTGTGCTGTGGCAAGATCAGGTACCACATACTGTAAGTAGGCTTCAGATGAAGTCTCTATCAAAACCACACAAGATGAGTAATAAAGGCATTCAGGTGAAAAGTGAGATGAAATTAAACGTGTTTTGTAGGAATATAGCAATTCTGTTGAAGAAAGGCTTAAATTTGCATTTGGGCCCAAGTGGTCTTTAATTTCATGAGTGAACACCTCTTGTTCCTGAGGTAAGTCCTGGTTAATGCAAATGAAAGATGACTGTTCAACATGAGGAATTTTAACATGAATTAAGAGCAGTGCAAGTGACATCCTTAATTATACCAGACAGTAGAAATAGCCCAGGTGTCTTTTCTCAAATGAGTAGTGAAGATCTCACTTTCCTTCAGTGGTGGCTTTAGCAGCTGATCATGCTCATTATTAAAACTCTAGTCTGATTTTTCATTTAAATTTCATTTTTATTAGTATCTCACCTATCTTGTCACTGGGTTTTTATCTTGTAACTTCAAGGATCTCTAAAGAAGAACTCCACTGAAACCACTGAAACATGAAACCAGGTTTGTTGGACAAGATTATTATTATTATTATTTTGAGTGATAATACTTTTTCTTCTCCTCTTCTTTATCTCCCTTTTATTTTTCATTTGCTTTCCCAACTTCTGCTCAATAACAGTATCCTGAGCAGTCTATAATTTTGCAGGTCATCACAATAAACCTTTTTAAGTAGAAATAAATTATCTGCTAGTTTCCAATTTTCTATATATTTTCTCTTAGATTTCTTCTTAGATTCTCTTAGATTTAATAGTAATTAAAAATTCTGTATCAGCGAGCCAACTCCTTAAAGAGCCCTGATTATGAATTTTCAAGACTGCTGACACACAGAGATTCCTCTTGAGCTGTCTCAGTGCAAAGCAATCACTTTACACATTCCAGCTGTGTCTATAAACCACAACTGAGCATACAGAATAATACCGCTTAAATAGTTGATGTTCACATAATGTTTAAAACTACAAAAGGCCCATTTCTCTAATGATCTCTACCATGTGTTTTCTGTTACATCTAATAAGAATGGTTGTAAAATATTATGGTTGTATTAAGTGGGAAATTTTGCTTTAGCAATTATCTGCACAACAGACTTGTGCTGGGGGATGTATGCTGCTCAGACACACAGCACTTTTTGAAGAGCACTATGGCACTAGGTGAAGCTTCTGGCTTGGACACAATCATGTTTTTAACAATTTGCCCTAACCTGCCCAAGTAGCCAACTGAGAACACAGCTGTCTAGAAAAAAGTTCTTACTGGAAAAGCTATATAAGAAAAATCTTTTTTCTGAGTCTAAGATGTGCTTGTATTAAGATACTTAGCTAGACTAACACAGTTAGTAATTCTATCTAGGCACGGTTAGTAGATACGTGACCTTGGCAGCGTGTTCCTCATGCTGTACAAATGTAAATCATCATGTAGTCTACAAGATTCTGGAGAGTGAAGTCCCCTCGCTCCAAAACACTGCTATCAAAACAAAATACCACTCTCACAATTGCTATCTGTATACTAAAAGTTTTTCATGCATTCTAAGCATCAAACATGAATTCATTAAAATTATCAAAGACCACGAAGAACTTTGTGTTTTTTTAGTGATTGCTGCACCAGTACAACAAAACCAAATTATTAAGACTTCAATAAGTATAGACAACATAGAACAGAAATAGGAGATGATCAGATGAAGGAAAATATGTCAGTTCCCAAACCCTGAAATATTGTGTAGTCACTTGTGAACTGAAAGGCAGCCAGACATTCCTACCTCAGAAGACTCCTGTTAGCAGCAATGAATGCTATCAGAATTCATAGCATTTTTCCTACCAGATGAATGCCTTGCACCTGAAAAAACTGTTTTGTTTTTCACTTTCCATTACAAAGAAATAAAGCTGCAACTTTAATTTTATTTTTCTTTTAATAAACAACTCAGTAATATTTTATGCAGGGAGAGCTGATCTCAAGGGATGCTGTGGAAGACAACTGTAAGACACCACAGACATCCCTGTTGTTAAATAAGCTCCATTAAACACTTGTTTTGGGAACCTTGCACAGGAAGTGCAATACTCCTTTTCAGTATAATGGACCTTAGAATGCTGGGCATGTGCTGCTGTCAGTATGAGGCGCAAAAGGGAAGTCCTAAGCATTTATGATCAGAGGAAAATTAACTTAATATCATTTCACAAAAGCACTGTTTTGT